GTTTATTTCACGTCGACTCGCTCTCGACAGCGAGCGTCGGCGTTGCGATTGGTGCAAATTTCAAAGGCCCTAGTAGTTTATTTCACGTCGACTCGCTCTCGACAGCGAGCGTCGGCGTTGCGATTGGTGCAAATTTCAAAGGCCCTAGTAGTTTATTTCACATCGACTCGCTCTCGACAGCGAGCGTCGGCGTTGCGATTGGTGCAAATTTCAAAGGCCCTAGTAGTTTATTTCACGTCGACTCGCTCTCGACAGCGAGCGTCGGCGTTGCGATTGGTGCAAATTTCAAAGGCCCTAGTAGTTTATTTCACGTCGACTCGCTCTCGACAGCGAGCGTCGGCGTTGCGATTGGTGCAAATTTCAAAGAAATAAAGTCAGTTTCAGTGAAATAAACTTGCACTAGTGAGTGCAAGTTTATTTCACATCGACTCGATTGTCACGGTGACCGCTGACCGCGTTCGACGTTGCGAGCAGCCCGTACTGATATATTGACCAATCGCAACGCCGAACGTGCTCGCTATCGACGATCGAGTAGATGTCAAATAAACTCGCACTAGGGCTTCTGATCGCAAACTAGGTAGAGCCTATGCTATGGTAACCAGACTGCTTATATACGAGTAATTTTATATTTTTCAATGCAGAGATAAGTAATGTAGATAAATTACACACAGACACAAAACAATTTATTGTGTTCATTACACGATTACTTATCCTTGGCTTATTGAACCTACGACCTTTAAATTCAGCAATCACAAAGCAACATACCAGTCATTAACCCTCCACATTTTAAAAGATTCTATAAAATAAATGACTTTTAAATAAATTATCAGTAGATATAAAGGTAAGTATGAAAAAACAAATTAATGGGGGAACATAAATGTCAACTCCCTCGTATATTACTAAAGACAACAAATTTTAATTATTATATAACATATATATATATATATAACATATATATATAACTATTTTATTATTCCTAAGGACACGGACAGACCTCCTACTAATAGGTCACAGGCCAAAAAGCCTGTAGGGAGTTCAAGAGCCCGTAGGGCCTCCTTTATAAGACAAAGACTATATGATTGAGCTGGTAAGTTAACGTCAATTAATAACAGGGGTTAAAGTATGAAACTGCCGTTGTATAGTAATAAACACTTTGAATTCACATAAAACCTTCATGGTGTGAGATTTACGTGTAAAACTTTTTATCACATGACACCTATGAGGTTCTTCTTTTGAAAAATAAGCAACATTCCATTTTCGACTCTCAATTGTTTTCTTTATTCAGCTCAGACGTAAAAGATGGAAACTTCGAAAATCCGAGTCATTTTTGAATACGAGTTCCGTCACGGAGCGGAGTTTTAATTAATGTTTAGGTACATAAATATATAAGGTTACATTATAAAGTATACCTAAATCGAATGATACGATAACAGAATATATTACATTTAACTGTCGTGTATTTTATGATCAGTATTTTTTTGGGAAAATGTGTACTGAAATCAATAACATTTTATTTAACACACTGCTGATAATATTAAAGACCTTCCTTTCTCTTGTTTCAAAGTAAAACATTACAAAATGTTTTTGCTTAGTGATAATGTTGACAATTGTCATAGGAAGAACACCTAAATTTTAGGTTATGATTAGAACACCTATGACAATTGGCAAAATCAGACTGAGTAATAATATGAAGTCAAAAAATTACACATATTTAAAACAAATATAGCCTTTGGGTTGAAATTCGACTATTTTGAATGTCTTGTTTTCCATTGAGCAGTATGACTTAGAAAAACATTATTTAGGGTTTTAAGGCAATGATAGATCATTGCTGGACATAGGCCTCACCTCAAGAAGAGGTTTTAACATACTATATCACGCTGGTCAAACGGGTTAGTATAGGGTTTGTGTCAAGTTTGCCTTCCTTAATGGTAATGTTGTCCTGCGTAGTTTGGTCCCTCGGCACTCGGCTCTTACGACACCCACAGGATGAATAGGGTTAGTGACACTACGTATTCTTAATCCGTCACCATACGAACAAACCTTTTTTTATATAATTTTGAAATTTATAGAAAAATATATAACTATTAATGAAAAAATTTAAACATTATACATAAGTATAAAAATGCTTCTATTGTCATACTTGATTAAAAAGGGGTGCAAAGATTGTTCATCATGTAATATAATAATAATAATACTCTAAGTTTTCTTCAGAAAGTAAAGTGGGTTTAAACAAGTACCAGTTTGCCAAAAAAAAACAGGTGAATAAAAAAAACCATTGTTAAGTAACCATTGCTGTTCAACAGCAACAAGTTACCGGAGGCCTCCTAATACTGAGGATAGAGGGGTCACTCAAAGGGGGGACAACACACTGTTCCTTTAAATCAGTCAGTTAGCCACTGTCCATGGGCCGCGGTAGTCACTTATATCCAATGGCCCGACTGCTAGTTTGATCTCTATCCAAACAGAACATGCTATTTATCAGGTCAAATTAAATCTACTACTTCAAATCGATGGTTAATATGCTTCTACTGTTTGATAATATTGAAGCGATAGACTTAATAATATTATCTATGATTAATGTAAACTATGAAACAGTCTTCAAGTAATTTTATACATACTTAATATAATTATGACATTGAAAAGATTCTTTTATACGTTCATTTAAATATTGTACTATTTTTATTGTATAGCAAAATATTAGGAGTCAATAATGACAAAACCATTAGATCAGGCGCTGTTCTCAATCTTCTATACTAATATTATAAAGCTGAAGAGTTTGTTTGTTTGTTTGTTTGTTTGTTTGTTTGTTTGTTTGAACGCGCTAATCTCAGGAACTACTGGTCCGATTTGAAAAATTCTTTCAGTGTTAGATAGCCCATTTATCGAGGAAGGCTATAGGCTATATATCATCACGCTAAGGCCAATAGGAGCGGAGCACCAATGAAGAATGTTTCAAAAACGGAGAAAATTTATTAGATATTAGTGAGAGACGCAGACGAAGTTGCGCGGGTCAGCTAGTTATATATATAATTCTTCTGTGAGTGTGTATGTCAAGTCAAGAGAAGTTCAGCTTCTCTCAAACGACTGGACCGATTTTGATGAAATTTTTTGTGTGTGTTCAAGGGGATCTGGGAATGGTTTAGATTCACAATTTTGTCCGCTGGACAATGTTTTTTTAATTAATTTTTAATTTATTAGTAGTTTTTGATTTTGGAATGTTTTACATTGGATCAGACAGACGGCGCTACCATCGCAGTGTCAAATTTGACAGGACAACGTCTGTCGGGTCCGCTAGTATATTATAATTCAGAGAGGGCAGTGCTTCTTTTGCCAGACACAAGAGAGTGAAAAACGAACACATGCAGGGTTACTCGACTCCAAATTATAATGACTACAACTATATAACAATATAAAATCCTGATCAAATCTGGCCAATCTTCAGTTATGACTAAGATGCGTTTCCTTTCCAGTGCCGAATCTTATTGGAAATATCATTATGGTCTATAGAACTTGTGTTGACATGGTTATCTTATTAGGGCAGATATTTAAAACCTTTTTCTCACGCCAGTTACTTTCTAAGGAGAGGCCTATGTCTAGCAGTGGACTATTAAAGTCAGTTGATGATGATGAGTGATTTCTAACTAACACCCAAACAAAGTGTCTGCTAGCTAACACTGTAATGTTAATCTTACATGAGATACATCACCGGATTTTTCCCGGCTCGTGCCGTTACAACAACAAATCAAAGATATTTATCCGCCACAGGCGCAAGGGACATTTACGAAATCTCATCTAAAACCACCCATGTCACCCTGCCTGTCTGAGTCTGAGACCGTTTAGACAAATATAACCTGATCGGTGTTATTCGCCGTGGATTCTAAGTCTTTTTATTTTTGTTAGTACAATAACGTGATCCACATGATCTATCGCTTTTTCGAAATATGCACTGACAGGACTGACACCTAGCCATAAGTTCCTGCGTGGTTCTAGTGATAAATTCGAACATCCAGTTACACTACTTTTTTATATAACAATGCCCTAAATTAGCCTCATAAGGATCTTAAATAAAACAGAGGGACCGACCAGAGAGAGAGAGAGAGAGAGAAAGACAGATGGAGAACAATTCATCATCTGTCAGTATTTTAAAAATACTAAAATACTTTCATTCTATCACTGTGGTGTATTGCGTGAAATTCAGAATGCCATTCACAAACGTAGTTGCCGTCAATATTTCAAAACATGTATAAAATTATGTCATGTATGTAATTACGTAAAATGTGTATAATTTATTCGAAGTAAAAACAACAATATAATTATTAATTTTTTGTCATTAACTTTATGTATTAATAATAGGTTCTTTAATTCTTTCCCTTAATCATGGGAGCAAAACACGACCTACAATGCTAACCTAACACGACCTAACTTTAATAAAAATCATACAATAAAAAAAAGAAAAGTGACTGATCTAACAAAATATATTAATTGTATTATTTTTTGTTATTCATAAATCTTTTAAAATGTTATATTAAAATAATTACCACAACTCAGCTGGTCTATATAATTGTAGTCTATGATATGACATCATGGACCATGGTGCTGTCATGTCAATTGTAAGTTTTGTTCGATTGGCCGTCATCGAATCGAGTTTTGCTACAAATTTCGTCCTTTTGTGATGAACTAGAACATTCGCAGTAAATTGATTTTTTATTTACACAAACCCAACTGGTTCGACATGCGTTAAATTATAAGTAGTTTTACTAACAACTACTTTTACTAATCGTCCTAAATCCTACGGAGAATAAGTTCACAAATCACGTCGCACATACTAAACAACATTGGCCTCAAGATCTGTGATGGAAGCTTACTTCGTCGCGACCTCTAGACGAAAAGATTCAGCTGTAGAAGGTTACAAATGAATTAAACAAGTGGTAACTTTGTAACAACGACGTGAAGTGTTTGTGATCGTCGACAGACGGGTTTTATATGTGCGTGACGGTGACATGAGCACAAACAACAAACGGCGTGGAGCTAGCGGTTCCAGTTGTTCTGTCCCCGGGGTGCCAGCCCTTGTGAACGCCCCGACCGCCATGTCCGCTGATTTAGCATCCCTGTTCGAGTGCCCTGTGTGTTTCGAATATGTACTCCCACCTATTCTACAGTGCCAGAGCGGGCACTTGGTGTGCTCGAGCTGCCGTCCAAAGCTGTCGTGCTGTCCGACATGCCGTGGCCCGCTCGGCAACATCCGCAACCTGGCTATGGAGAAAGTTGCTAGCAATGTCATGTTCCCTTGTAAACACTCCAATACTGGTTGTACAGTTACTCTCGTCCACACGGAGAAGGCAGAGCATGAAGAAGCTTGTGAGTTCAGGCCTTACTCATGCCCCTGTCCTGGCGCATCTTGCAAGTGGCAGGGAGGCCTTGATCAAGTTATGCCACACCTCATGATGTCACATAAAAGTATTACTACTCTTCAAGGTGAAGATATAGTTTTCCTTGCAACAGATATAAATCTTCCTGGGGCTGTAGATTGGGTTATGATGCAGTCTTGTTTTAATCATCATTTTATGTTAGTTCTTGAAAAACAAGAGAAATATGATGGACATCAACAATTTTTTGCCATAGTGCAACTTATAGGATCTCGTAAGGAAGCAGAGAACTTTGCCTACAGGCTCGAGTTGAATGGTCACCGCCGACGACTGACATGGGAGGCAATGCCACGATCAATTCACGAAGGAGTGTCATCTGCCATTATGAACTCAGATTGTCTTGTGTTTGACACATCACTCGCACAACTATTTGCAGATAATGGAAACCTCGGAATCAATGTCACAATATACCTGCCAAATTAAGACATTTGCAGATAAAAGTTCTGTAAACATTTGTATTCCTCTAACTTCTAGTGATGCAAACGTTGTAAGTACTATATTTCTTTTTTAGGAAATTCAAAAAGCCACTGTCTTCGTAACATAAATAACATCACACATTTTATTTGTACTTTACAAGTATTTTAAATATTATGTTGGCATTCAATTCCTTCAAAAATCCTATATATAAACTTATATATCTACATAAGAACAGTAGAAGCAAAATAAATGAAAGATTCACATGAAATGTGTGCCATTTTTGAAATGAGTATAAACCACTTTTAGTATATACATAGATATTGTAGAGGTCACTACAGAAGTATGCAAAAATTATATTATATATCTATATATACATACTGTCCCTGTATTTTCATAATATTAAAATAATCACTATTTTGTAAAAAAAATCCAAGTTGTGTAACAAAATCTTGTATATAAGAAATTTCATAAATTTAGTGCACAACTGATTTCTCCACTGTTTGTCCGATGTCTAATATAAGAACTTTTTGAGATATGCAGACAGTGTTGCTCTATCTTACATTCAGTATATTAATAGATCTGAAGAAATGTACTAAAAGTCTTTGTTTATTTATTGATACAGTTTTTAAATGCATGCTTAAACATTTATTTTTGTCAATATAAGTGAACTGTATTAAAGATATGATTTTAGATGAAATAAATGTCTTTGAACAGAATATCTTCTGCTTAACGCATACATACCATAATTTAAAGTACTGTTGTTCTACAAGTGACTGAGGTAACGTTAAATATCCTACACGATTGTATAAAATATGTAGATATTTTTGTTGCGGGTTGTGGTATATACATGTAATAATATATCACATGTTTTGTATTGAATTTATGTAATAATCAACATCAAAGTAAGCCAAAAATATTTCTTTTTATTGTCAATACTTTGTAAATGTGTGTTCAACCTTAGAATTTAAGTAGTGGAAAGTTTAAATTCTCAGAGTGAATAATGAAGTATTCACTTTTGTGAAAATAGTATAAAGATATTGTGACATCTCACAAGAGAAAGTGATTCGTTTATTCCAAACATTGAACAAATTTGAACTAATGTATATGTATATAGAATATAAACATTTGATGTTAAGAGTTTTGAGTAATATCAATTAGAACTTAGTGTGCTGGTTTCAACTGGGTTGGATCAAATGGATAACAGTCGTGATGAGTTGACTGATATACGCTTATCAGATTTACTACAAGATAACTTATCTTGCAACACAAAGAATGGCAAAATACATGTTTTGACGTGAAAATGTATAAGTGTGCATCAACATTGCGAGATATATTTCGCAGCTTGTGCTAATGTACATAATGAAGTCAAAAAGACGATGTTGCTAATAACCCCGATTTGCAGCTCCTTGCGTTAAGAATGACGAATGCTAAAACAAAGTCTGAAAAGGAATACACACGATAAATTATTTTGACTATATTAGTAGGTGTAAAACAAGATCAAGGAAATTGTTGTCGTCCACTTATTTTCGCCAAGTTTAGTTAATTTTATTTACTAATTCTTCGCGATATTTTTATTATAACGATTACCTTAGTGCTAGTCGAAGTTCCTCATGTAAACCCATTACAGCGGGTACTTGTGGTCCTGGGAAAAAGGAAACCGCGATAAAACCAATAAAAGTTGTGTTATTTTATTGTTTGTGGCGCAACTTAATTAAGATTATGAACCGTTAGCCAATTTAGTTCAGACATTTTGTGTGATGTCTGTATATAGTTTCAAAACTTCCAAAACCTAACTATACACCAAGGTGATTTATATACCTAAGCGCCCTTGGAGTCAGTGTGGCATTGGAAGTGGGAACCCATCACCATTATCTCTGATTTTATCTATAAGTTGTGATTAGAATACTTTATTTATAGTGGCAAGCAAATAAATAGCATCCCCTTGATGATGTAAGTTTTTCATTGTACCTGTTTTTTGTCACTCTGAAATGTAAGGACTGTTAGACACTCTTTTGCCAGGAAGAATAGAGTTTAATACAAAACTTGAAAATATTAATTGTTTTGGTAATAATTTGTCTGCAATGAAATAACATTCCGTTTTCTTTTTTTTATCTTATATAAAGAACTCCGACATTCAGTAAAGCAAAAAAACAAACATTATTTCGTCACAAGTTACAAAGTAACACCTCTTATGAAATTCAAATAGGACCGAATCTATGAAAAATACATGTTTACAATTTTACATTTGGTACCGTGTTCGCAACGTCAGAGACTATATTTGAGAACACAATATTACGTCAAAATGTACAATTTTTTTGTTAACGGGGGAAAAATCCCTTCGGATCTCCAGGAGTATGTGGTGATTACACTAAAAACCACCCCGACGGCCGGCCTCAGGTGTCCTACTCTGTGAGGACCCGGACTCTGTTATTTCAGGTCCTTTCCGAATTAAGACCATGCCTATTCAGGCCCAATCCGAGGGGAAAACCCTTCAATCGCGGCGTGGCGGCCCGAATGCAATCAGGCTGCTATTCTATCCCCTACCGCAGCAATCAATCTGCCACCAGAGGTCCCATTCCCTGGCGGCCCGCGGCCCCGTCGACGGCTGATAACGTCAAAATGTACCCTAGAGAGTGTCTTGGCTTATTCAAAATCTTTTTTTGTATCCAGGTACTGAAACTGTAAATATAAAAAAATATATTTATACTCTATTCTTCCTTGCAATTGGAACCCATCATTCAGTTTGCTATGCCGAATAAAGATTACATTCCTGTTTAAGTCTTGCGATGCCTGCCCTTCAAGAGCTTGCCAACTTTTACTGCCAAAAGAAAAACTTAAAAAATCGATAGCCGATCAATTCGCTCGCCAATGTACTAAAAGCTAATTTTCTAAGAACAGTAGCTCAATATTACCAAGTTTGTTTTCTACATGTCAACTGTTATGTTAATACATGTGTTAGGCACCTATAATTCGTAAGTTATAACTTCATTTATTTATACAATACCGTTACTTAATGTAGTTTTAATTCTCTCATTTAATACTTCAGCTGTTTTTTAAATCTGGGAACATTGGCGTGGTTTTATTTAAATCATCTGTATCTAAGAATAACTGATAAAATTTATGAAAAATTCTAGTTGAAATAAATTTTGTATGTAAATTGTATTTTTCATTTGAATACCTTTTCGTTTCATATGTACATAATTTTGAGGCGCTTGTAAAATCTGTTACCCGTGTACCGTAACGGTTAAAGCAATAAGAATATTGTGGGTTCGATCCCCACGTAAGATATTTTTGTTTTCTCAAAATTAATTCCGTGTACATACATTTCAGTGTTCATATAAGTTAACGGTGATTTTGTTAGTTTATCTTAATTTACTATATTGCTTTGTGTAACCAAAGTTAGGTAATTTGGGCCACACGGGTAGTTACCTAACCAAATTCACACAATTGATAATAAGATTTCTGCATACGAGTACACCCTAACGGGAGTTCAGTCGTAAGAACGATCCACGTGCCTCTATGACATTTGTGATATCGAAAGTCTATCGGAACTGAATTTTGAATGATATTTATTACGACAATTGATTTACTCATAAATTTGTTACCAGACTGGAAATAAGACGGTTAATTTTTAGACCTCAATCTGAAACCCTACCTTATCTGATTATAGGAGTGAATAAAAGGTTGTCGTTTATTCCATTCTGATTGCTTTACCTACAGTTTATCTCATTCGTGAGGTATTCAGTAACTAATAAGAACGACATATTGAGGAGGGTAATATTCATTTCATTATTTAAAGAAAAAACAAATCCCTCCTTAGGAGCATATAATGTGTCGCGGGGGACTTTACAAACATACATGGACACAAAGAACACCCAGACTCAGAACAACAATTTGTGGATCACACAAAGTGTAGGTTCCATGTGGGGATCGGACCCACAACACTCAGCGTAGCAGTGAGCGGCGTGACGACAGTTAACACCACTACGCCATTCGTGCAGTTTAAAACAATAGTTTTTATTATTGTTTTGTATATACAATAGTATCTATACGAAATAAATATCTTATTAATATCACCGACAATCGCGATATGCTTTTGTTTGGGACTTCTTAAGTCTTGACAAGAAGGAATTATAGTTTCAGAGGACTAGAATACATTTTAAAGGTGAACTAAATAAAAAGTTCTACCAGACCATTGTTGCGTCGTCGTCAAGCCCCATTCTTTAACATTCGACAAGATTAATCATTTGACAATTAACTTGGCAGAATCATGAATCATCATCATCACCGTCAACACCGACAACAATGCGCCCGCCGCCCGCACTTCTCCCGGTTCCCGTTCTCGTTCTACCTCCGCACCCCAGTACCCCGCTGACGAGGACTCAATTAAGCGGTTAATCCAAAATTATAGTATTGTCATATATAGTTTGACTTGACGGGCCTGTTGGTCTAGTGGTTAGTGGCCCTGACTGCTAAGCCGGAGGTCGTGGGTTCGATTCCCACCCAGGACAAATATTGTGTGATAAGCACGGTTATTTGTTCTGTGTCTGCGTGTAATTTATCTATAATATTTATGTATTTAAAAATATATAAGTATGTTTATCAGCAGTCTGGTTACCGTAGCATAGACTCTACCTAGTTTGGGATCAGACGGCCGTGTGTGAGATGGTGTAATGATATGATTTTAAAACTATGTGATTTATCACATGTGATTGTGATTTTGTTCCATCCCTACAAGAGACAGTTAACTATCTCTCCGAACAACCAGGCCTATACACACACGCACAAAGCTCAGTATCATCATCATCAACAGCCTTTAACAGTCCACTGCTGGACATAGGCCTCTCCTTAGAAAGGAGGTTTTGGCCTACTATACCACGCTGGCCAGACGGGTTGGTATAGGGTTTGTGTCAAGTTTTCCTTCTCTCTGCAGTGCTGTTATTCTACGTAGTTTTCTCTCTTAGTCGACTCTTACGACACCCACGGGATGAATAGGGGTGGTAATACTTTGTATTCTTAATCCGTCACCACACGGACTTTGGAAAGAGTATTACAACGAAATCGCGACCCTCAGCATTGAGGATACACGAATCAAAGAACACAAAAAAATTATAACTCATGAGTTTAAAAATTTAAAAATAAAACTAATTTCAGCTTTATTATGTTTTAATAGATTGTACTAGCATCGTTCGTTAATACAACAAGTTCATAACTGTATAAGTCGGATTGCTGCTTCTCAATGGCGATATAAGTGGTATCAGCAAGCGAGAGATTAATAGCTCCAATCAAATAAAACGCCAAATATTCTGTCATGACATTTATTAATTCGACTGGGACGCTTTATATTACTATACTGAATAAATAAGAACATGAAATAAATTCATCAATAACTTGCAACTTAGCACCGACCTTATAACACCTAAATCGACTAAACACTAACCAACTAAGTTGATTTTTTGCTGCTCTGTGGTAGTAAAGGCGACGGCAAGAGACAAGCGGATGTAGGTGATTCGTTATCGTCCAAAATTGAAGTTGATTTCTTCTGGGGAGTGAACGGATCATTTTCTAAATCTGCTCTCATTTCTACAGGACTAAACGGGTCATTTCCTCTATGTACCACCTCGAACGGATCTGTCTCTCGGTTTTTATGGACAAAACTGAATTCGTCAAAGGACTCTAGTACTGCATAGTCTTTTGAAGTCTGTGGCGCGAATGGATCGAAGGGAACAGTTTTCCTCAATCCATCTGGACTGAAGGGATCTTTGTTTTCTGTTTTAGGTGCATCTTCGGCTATACTGTTATCTCCGCTAAAGTCTGACAGATCTATGTCATAGTTTATGTTACTTAGTCCCGGAGGCAGGTGGTCTGTCACGAATTCATCTGGCGTCATCAGTTCGTCGAGAGAACGTGAATCAAATGGTGTGAAACCGAGTGGAGACGGAGTCAACAGCTCGGTGGAGCCAGTTTTCTTCAGGTCCCAATTCTGGGGTGATTTTGAGGGGGATTCTCGTTCTATGACTTCGAAACCTAGAATGTTTAGTTTGGGTTCATCAGATGGTTGTACTATGACGCTTGTATCTGGTTTCTTGTGGGTTATTTCTACTGAATCAGTTGCCGTGTAAACAGGTTCTGTTAATTGTGTGGCTGTAGTTTGTGGTTGTAGTTGTTTGGCGGTTGTTTTTGGTTCTTCTGTGTCGTTGTTCGATCCGAGGTCGATGAGGGCCGCGGTGTTGATTTTTTTGAACTTCCCAAAGCGAGGTAGTTCACGTCGGGGCTTTATCTCTAACGGTGTCTTTGCCAGAACATCTTGAACTTTTTTAGCTATTTGTTCCTGTCAACAAATACATATTTTATTAACATTACTTCTTATTAAATTAGAATGTTAAGGCGTTAATAAATTTAGAACACACATTAGGTATAGTAATGGTTTTTATATCAAAATGTTCAATCCATTGAACCGTAATTAGAGGGCGTCGTTGATTACGATAGGTGTTTTTCAGAACCTTCGCGGCTAATCCAACGTTTAATTTCCTTTAAGCTAGTCTGTGAACTTTAAATTTTGCTAACTTCACATTCTGAGAAATGCACGTTTTGCGACTAAACCTTATATAAAACTCAAGGCCATCTGATTCCAAATTGGACGAATTATGTACTATGGTAAATAAATTTGTGTGACACAATAGTTCCTATGTGTTAAAATTATTATTTACACAAAACAATTTGTGTCATTTAAAGGTCCCGCGTATTGGCATTACCTGAGAATAATACCGAACGATTGACCGGACCGATACGACCTTCAAGAAAAGAGCGTACACCTTCCTAAAAGGTCCCCACTGCATTTGTGACTCCCGACTTGCAAGCGCTTATGGGCGGCGGTAGTCGCTTTCTATGAGGTGACCCATCTGATTGTTTGCCAGCTCTTCCATAGAACAAAATAAGGGCGTGATTTGCTTACGCCCTATTCGTGTCTCTGCGCATGTATATTTTTAACGATCTAGTATTGGTCGCGAAACAGGCCATCCGAACCGCTTTGCTATGTTACATTACACCTTGCGTTTATCTATACAAATAAATGAAATTGAAGTGTCTGTTTGTAATGTCAAAATAATAGGTGTTTTTCATGCCTTCATCATAACCTTGTTATTTACACAATACCTATGCCTAAAAACCAGTTTAAACATTTTTTGTCTGTCTATCTGTCTGTCGGTCTGTTGTTGCCGAGTAATTTTCAAAGCGGCTTGACTGATTTTGATAATATTTTTATTATTATTATTTTACTACCAGGTAGCTGTCTATATGAGTAACTGTTTTTTCTCTCAGAAACCTCAATAAAATTTTATTCGGTCCGGGAATCGAATCCACTAAGGCAGCGCTTTTCCAATTCCACACGAAGTCGCGGGTACCAGCTAATTCCAAATAAAACTCTGTATTAGGTAGGAAAATGATAAGAATGGTATTTAAGTGTAATGTCGGTGTTACCTCGAAGCTGAGCGCGTTGGCGGCGAGCGAGTCGGCGCGCGCCTGCAGCTGCTGCGCCTGCGCCAGCACCTGCGCCGCGCCCTCGCGCTGCTCCTGCGCCTCGCGCGCCGCGCCGCACAGCGACAGCGCCGCCGCCTGCGGGGGGGGTAATGATTCTGGGGAGGACTCAAAAGGCGAAAACGCTTTCGCCTTTCGAGTCACGGTTACAGGTTACAGGTGACGATAATTAATTGGTAACCAGTCTGGTCGTTTGCCTTCCTATACAGGGTGTGAGGGACGTCGTAACGAATACTGCTATAGTGTACTCAGACCATCGTTTTGATTCGAAAATCATTGGAATTTTCTGCCAGAAAATTCGTCTTCTTTTTTTAAATTTTAAATTTTCTTTGGTAAAAAAGATATAATAATATAGGAATAAGCGTAAATATATGTATGCTATATCTACCCAAGAACTGCCGCCGATAGATGCGGGCATCGCCATGTAGCTATCAAATTCCTTCTTGTCCATATTCAACGACTCCGCTGTTAGGTTTTCGATAAAAGATACGGCGCAACACTAGAAATAAATAGGAAAACTGTTTTTAGCATTTTGAACTAGGATGACAGTAAGTTTGCACAAACGAATAACCAATAGACAAATAGCCTAGGTGGGGGGGGGGAGGGGGTTGACTCACAGTGTGTATCATTTAGTTTGTGGTAAAGGTAACTTGCAAAGATTATTTATGTACAGTATAAACAAAGCCAGCCCAAGCACACTACCCTGTGGTACGCTACAATTCAGGTATTCTATTTTTTGACAACATTTATTGCGTACAAATCTATTATAAACGACTTAGCTAACCAGTTGGTTTAGTAGTTAGTGATTGTAACTGATAATGGGGAGGTCGTGGATTCGATTCAATTCGTGATGAGCCTGATCATATTATCGGGATGTAATTAATGTAATAGGTCTTTACCTATGAAATTGCCGTTTTGTATGCAATAAGTGAAAGTACTTATTTTTTCAAACTTTTTTATTTCTGTTATTCGAAGTCATCCGCCATACTCACCAGACCTTGCACCTACCGACTATTACTTTTTCCAAAATTTAGACAACTTTTTAGTGGGTAAAAAATTCAATTCCCGAGAGGCAGTACAAAATGCCTTTGAAGAGTTTGTTGCCTCCCGTCCAGTTGATTTTTACAAGAAGGGCATCAATAAACTGCCAATGCGTTGGCAAAGATGCGTCGATTGCATGGGTGATTACTTCAAATAACAGAAATAAAAAAAGTTTGAAAAAATAAGTACTTTCACTTATTGCATACAAAACGGCAATTTCATAGGTAAAGACCTATTATAATGTGTATGAATTTAGAAATATATAATTATTTAAGTATTTTTATCAGCAGCCTGACTCAGGCTTGGAACTTACCAAGTTGGTGAAATAGTAACCACCTTCTCCAGTCATGAGCCTCTGTGCGTTGCAGAACCGTGTCACGAAGTTTATGTTGCTCACCAAACGAGGGGGGTTCGCTTTTAACACCTGGAGATATACAATAAAATATGCTTTATTGTACACCAATTACAATGCACGGATGGCGTGGTGGTTAAAGCGGTCGCCACGCCGCTACTACGCTGAGTACTGTGGGTCCGATCCCTACATGGGACGACACTTTGTGTGATTCACAAATTGTTGTTCTGAGTCTGGGTGTTCTTTGTGTCCGTTTCATGTATATTTTTAAAGTCTCCAGCGACACAGGATTTATTCCCAGTGCGGGAGTTGGCTTTTAAAAGAAAACAAATGTTAGATAAATATTACAGACGGACATGTACAATGGGCGGCCTTATCGCTAAAAGCAATATCTTACAGTAAACCTTTGGATGGACACAAATCGACAGTAGATGAGAAAAAACAATGGGTAGTCTAGGTGTATTGAAGCTAAAGTAGTGTAAAAATAAATATATAAAATATCCATAACGATATATACACACACTTATTTCAATCAATAAAATATACAATATATATTGATAACCATGAAATCATTTAGTCAGGCACAGTTATTGAAAGCAAAGAGTACTCGTAGGTACTCAAGAACCTAAGTAGTGATCTTTGACCATATTCTTAAATGCTGTCAGTGTTTGGGCACGTTGGGATATCGGCAAGGCATATGGAACATAATCTGACAGCCTGTACTGTGAAAGTCCGTGTGGCGACGGATTAAGAATACAGAGTGTCACCACCCCTATTCATCCAGAGCCGACTAAGAGAAAAAACTACGCAGAACAACAGCACTGCAAAGTGAAAGAAAACTTGACACAAACCCTATACCAACCCGTATGGCCAGCGTGGTATAGTAGGCCAAAACCTCCTTTCTAAGGAGAGGCTTATGTCCAGCGGTGGACTGTTAAAGGCTGTTGATAATGATGATGATGTACTGTGAATGACTTGACATAGAATAGTGGCTAAGTACCAATAGCTCCGAAGATTCCGATGACCTCAAGGATCAACACAAAACGTTCCTTGAAGTAAGGTAGGGTAGATGGATTGATTAAGATACTATAAAATATAGAAAGGATAGGCGTATTCTGTCTAAGTCGACTTGGGAGCCACTTGATCATATTTGCGTAAACCAAATATGAATGTAACGATTATATTATTATTATTATTTAAATAAAACAACTCCCGCATTGGGAATATATCCTGTGTCGCGGGGGACTTTACAAACATACATGAAACGGATACAAAGAACACCCAGACTCAGAACAACAATTTGTGGATCACACAAAGTGTGGTCCCATGTGGGGATCGGACCCACAGCACTCAGCTTAGTAGTGAGCGGCGTGACGACCACTTAAACCACTACGCCATTCATGCAGTCAATCTATTTCTATTTAAATGATTATTTGTAAATGTTGTAGGCTCTTTGTGATTCAATTCGAATGCCACGTTGGGTGGTCGATCCCTTAAAGTACAAATATTTATATGCTTGTCTCCATCGTGCATGCTCATTAGTCAAATCAAAAAACGCGCGCTTCTACAGCTTTCAAAAAGAAAATTATCTATATATGTTTTTCCATAACCCGTACACACAGGATATAGTCCTGGTATTGTTTTTTAATAGTGAAAACTTCTTTATATGGGCATGTTTGAACAACAAACAAATGTTTTGAGATGGGAAAAACCATTAAACTCGAGACACTGTTACCGTTACCGACACCTCTGTATATACATAAGTATCAACGTATATTGGCCCCGTTTACACGAGAGTTGAGTTTGGGTTGAAATACATTGATAATATAACTGTATATTGTGTTATTTACGTACAACATAGATAAATATATTCATATCGTAACTTTTCGATTAAAAAAAAATCATGTTATATTCTTTTTTTTTAATGGTTATTAATAGATATTATATTGAATTGAATTGAAATTATAAAACCTAAAACATTTTGCACTAGCATTCATTAAAAACATTAAAATAATAAGTTTTAATAACCACAAGACTTCAAAGAATCATAATTATTTATACTGTAATGTAATATTTTTGGATAAAACCTCGCTCAGTAAGTGAAAGAAATATAATAGTGAGTAACAGTGTCGATTCTGAGGTCGGAGCAATCCAAGCGTAAACAGTTGACGCACTTTATTTACTATTGCAAGGAAATATTGCAGTTTTATTTCATGTAGGTTGTTTATCTATACTAATATTATAAAGCTAAAGAGTTTGTTTGTTCGTTTGTTTGTTTGAACGCGCTAATCTCTGGAACTACTGGTCCGATTTAAAAAATTCTTTCAGTGTTAGATATCCCATTTATCGAGGAAGGCTATAGGCTATATATCATCACGCTAAGACTAATAGGAGCGGAGCACCAATGAAGAATGTTTCGAAAACGGAGTAAATTTATTACTATTGAGAGACGCAGACGAAGTTGCGCGGGTCAGCTAGTAAATAATAAAAATGTTAAATTGGTTTGTGTACGCTTTAAAAAAAACAAGTTCATCGACTCGATCTCGACGGTAAGCGCGTTTAGCGTTGTGATTGGTGGAGATTTTAGCGTGGACCAATCATAGCGCCGAACGCCAGCACCGTGACGATACAAGTGAAATAAACGCGCACTAGGCCCTCTACACCGACTGAGCTCAAACTTCGGCACGATATACAACTCGCTTCAAGGATTGTTTTTATATATTTTTCGCGTCAGTTTTGTTCCTCATTTCTCCACAATGTGCTACAGCGAAGTGTGGCAGGGTACAGCTTGTATATTAAACTAGCTTTTGCCCGCGGCTCCGCCCGCGTTAATGTCGGTGATCGCGGTAAAAAGTAGCCTATATCTTTACTCAAGAATCAAAGTATCTTTATACCAAATTTCAACTAAATCGATAAGCGGTTATTGATTCCCCATACAAACTTCCACCCCCCTTAAAGGATGATTTTTGGAATAAAACTACCCTATGTCCTTTCCCGGGACTCTGACGATCTCTGTACCAAATTTCATCTAAATCTGTTTAGAGGTTTAAGCGTGAAGAGGTAACAGACAGACAGACAGACACACTTTCGAATTTATAATATAAGTATATATAGTATGGATTGATGTAAAAGTGGATTTGTAGGGAAATTATCATTTTTTATATGTTTCTTCCTGCCGGGCATTAATCTCGTCTCAGTAATAAATAATAATAAATCTTTATTTGGAACAAGAAAACAATATATAATTTAAAGATGTTCGATAACAGCCATATTAGTTAAAAACTGTGTCAAGGCTATTAACGTCCACCTCCAGGAAGGAGATGACAGCATCGTTCCATTGATTACAATAAAATTTGGGTATAGTGTGTGTATGTGTGTGGTGTGTTTGTGTATGTGTGTGTGTGTGTGTTTGCGAAAACAAATATAAGCCTGTTTATCTTTCTTTTTCTTTTTAAAAAAGACAACTCCCGCATTAGGAAAATATCCTGTGTCGCGAGGGACTTTACAATCTAATTTAATCTAATCTAACGGACACAAAGAACACCCAGACTCAGAACAACAATTTGTGGATCAACCCACAACACTCAGTGTAGTAGGAAGCGGCGTGGCGACCGCTTAAACCACTACGCCGCTTAAACTACTTTATAAAAAAAAGGTTTTTAATAGTTCAACTGAAATTACTAGTATTCCCGTTAACCCCTCCCGCTAAACCAAATTCCTTGTATTAGGAGTGGGTTCACGTCGGTGGTGTACTGGTCAAGATTTGAACCCACGACCTCTCGATCGCAAGTCCAACACCTTAACCACTAGGCTACCGGCGCTTGTCGTTGTTGTAAGTGCAGCGTACTTACAGTGAATATGAGCGCGGGCAGCAGGTCGTCGGCGGAGGCGGGCGCGGCGTGCGAGCACAGGCGCAGCACGTGGCGGCACGCGCGCCGCACGCGCGACAGCTTGCCGCCCGGGGACAGCGCGCTGTCCATGCCCAGCAACTCTGCGCACACGCACTTAATCACTACACTCCGTTAGCTACAGTAAACAACATAAAGTTAAACATACTTGATACTCGTAGACATCAAATTATTTAAATTTGAAAAAGTCTTAATCTACGTGGCTTACTTATGATCATCAGTGATCAGCTGAAGTCTTTTTCCTAACGATTTCTCTAATCACAGGACTGAAAATTGCGTACGCGCCTTCGGTGTCTTAGAGCTATGTACGGAAAATCGTGTACGATGACGTCACTCACCACTAATAGCCTTGTACAACAGCTGTCTACACTCAGCGTTGGATCGATCCAGTTTACACTCTAAGTGCTTCTCGCCAACCCAGCTCAACTGCTGGATGCGTTCAGACATCGCTCGATCCAGACGCTCATCATCCGTGCCCGTTGGTGAAAATACTACCGATGGTAACCTACAAAATATGACATGAATAATATATATAAGAACTAGCTGACCCGGCAAACGTTGTTATGCCATATACATTATTTCTAGGAAATTGTAAAAAAAATAGAAAAAAAATATTTAGGGGTATGAAAAATAGATGTTGGCCGATTCTCAGACCTACCCGATATGCACACAAAATTTCATAAAAATCGGTCCAGCCGTTTCGAAGGAGTTTGGTAACTAACACCGCGACAAGAGAATTTTATATATTAGACTAGCTGACCCGGCAAACGTTGTTTTCCATAATATATACATTATTTCATTTTTTTTGTCAAAAAATAATAATTTGGGGTTTGAAAATAGATGCTGGCCGATTTTCAGACCTACCCGATATGCACACAAAATTTCACAAAAATTGGTAGAGCCGTTTCGGAGGAGTTCAACCACGCACACCGTGACACGAGAATATTATATATTAGATATGAATAATGTTCAAATAAGAATGTAAGCCGAAGTGTCACCCACCCATGTATTCATCCCCAGGGTGTAGTAAAAGCCTATTAAGGAAGTTTTTTTTTCCATCAATTCCAACCTTTTTTTTGGTTTTTTCAACATTTTACATTGATGCTCGACTATTGGGTTATGTTATATAGCTTAAAGCCTTCCTCAATAAATGGACTATCCAACACTAAAAGAATATTTCAACTCGAACCAGTAGTTTCAGAGATAGGTAATCACGTTCAAACCAACTTTCAGTTTTATAATATTAGCTTAGATATACTCACTCATGCAAGTAAGTCATGGCGTGTTTCTCGACGAAATCCATGAGCAGTTCCTTAGTGTCCGAGTCCACATTTGTGAAGTGTGACGAGGTGTCCATATGTCTCATGAAACGCTGGAAGCAATCACATATTTAGATAACTTATTAGCGAGTACTTTCAGAGGGTTTCGTGGCTCAGTCGTTATGTTAAGCAAAGTTAAGCAATCCTAGCCAGGTCACTCTATGTTGAGCGTAGCGCTATGTTATTATTCTCATTCTATAGTTGAGCGGTAATTGATTCCCCATACAAACTTCCACCCCCCTTTACACTAATGAGTATTACACTTTCCAATAATGAGTATTAGTTGTGTGTTATTTCGAAAACGTTAATGTTGAGGTATCGCACTCGTTAACAAACTGTCGCAGGTTTGATGCCCACCTATAAAAGCGAAGCATCTCCAAAACAAGCGTTCAGCGTATGTATTTAATTTTCATTTTATTTTACATTTTATCTGTCTTATATGATTTTATATATTGCCATAACCTACTTTATTAACTTAACTTAACTTAACAAGCAAACTGTATTTGTCAGTATGCTCAGGAATATTACAATTATTTTAAATGCGATTTTAACATTTTTAATTAATATCTGATGAAATAAGTGGGCTATAAATAAAAATAACAATTAATATTAACGTTTAAAAAAGCATCATCGACGTCAATACCTATGTTTACATTAAATTATAGAATTGTAATAAAGTGAATTTTTCATTCCTTAACTTTTCACTCTTCTCTCTCTCTCTCTTCTTTTTCAAATTTAAATGAGCTAAATCGAATTTTTTTTAATCTCTTCCGTTTAAAAAAAGATTTTCTAAATCATTACCTATCATAAATGTGAAAGTGCGTTTTTTCTTTGTTTCGTTTTTACGCGTAAACCCCTAAACCGATTTAAAAAATTCTTACACCAATGGAAAGCTGATAATGTCAGCGAGTTACATAGGCTACTTTTCACACCGCGATAAACGACATACACGCGAGCGGAGCCGCGGGCAAAAACTAGTCGGTTTATAAATGACGACGTTTTGAAGTAAGAAACAAACAAAATACAAAGGAATTGAGAACTTCAACCATTATTTCATATCAGTTAAATAGCAATGTGTGTGCAATAGCCGTGTGGTGACGGATTAAGAACACGGAGTGTCACCTCTCCTGTTCATCCCGTGGGTGTCGTAAGAGCCGACTAAGGGAAACAACTATGCAGGACAAGAGCGCTGCAAAGAGAAGGAAAACTTGACACAAACCCTATACGAACCCGTCTGGCCAGCGTGATATAGTAGACCAAAACCTCTTTTCCAAGGAGAGGCTTATGTCCAACAGTGGACTGTTAAAGGCTGATGATGTGAAATAGCAAAATTATGATGCCACGTTTTATTTTTAGAATCACTTAAAACGGCAAGCGTAGAGCAATAATACATTAGAGTACTTAGGGCAACACTCATGCGTAATCGCCACGCACTTCATACAGATAGTCCTAATGCAATTGTTTCAAGTACAAGACTTCCTTTGTTTTTTCTTTTATAAGTGGCAAACAAGCAGACGAGTCACCTGACGACAAGTGACTACCGCCGCCCACTGATACCTGCAGCTCAGTGGTACAGTTTAACAAGAAACATGAGAATTATTGCTACTTTTAAATCATGTTTATTTAATGAAATGATTGGTTTTAGTCACTGCGATTTTACATGTGATTGTGATTACGTCATCGACAAAGATAAGTGGCATTAAAATCAAGTAAAACTCTTTTTATCAAAGATTACGACCTTTTTTTTTTAGATTGTGACCTTTCGCGAGTCTTGCGGTAGCGTAATAATAATAATTAAGTAGCAGTGATTTTTTAGGTCAGTCACAGGTGTTATGATATGATTTTAAAATTATGTGATTTATCATTTTGTTCCATCCCTACAAGAGACAGTTAACTATCTCTCCGAACAACCGGGCCTATACACACACGCACAAAGCTCAGTATAATATGTAATTATAAGGGTATGAACCGGTATTCATGTTACCTGATACTGCCTCTGCACTCGCTCAGAGAGCTCATCCACAGTGAGGACATTGGCACACTTGATAACATCCATGATGAAGCTGTGGACAAACACCCTGGCATCGCGGTCCATAGACGGTGACAGCTGAGAGAATTTCATACGGAAATCTGACTTCATGCCCTCATTGACCATCGCCGGGATCTTGAATTCTGGGAGACGTTTCTCTGCACTGTGGTCATGATCGTCTATAGAACGAAAAACAAAATCAGATATCCCCAGATTTTAATAAAATAGGATGTTTTGCTAGGCTTGGTTTAATTTCAAGGAGGTGCACTCTATAATATTATCCATTTTTGTGCGTGTGGAAATCCCCCTGGGCCGTCATCTCACCGGTGTCTTTATTGACACTCCGGTGTGTCAGAAACAAACCTACTAAACACACAGTGTGCCATAATTCACCTAAAATTTGGGGGATCCGGGAACAACACAATAATATTACGCAGCCGAACCGAATTGAAACCGGTAGGTAATTTGTAATTTTTACAATATGTAACACTATTAAGGATGTCTAACACCTCTTTTGTCCTTGTTCTTCTTTTGCCCCTAACTGAGTATCCAACCCAGTACTTGAAGTGTCGGCTAACATTTGCAGTCTCTTTTGAGCCTTGAGATTAAAACACTCATCTTTTCTTTTTTAACCGACTTCAAAAAAAGGAGGAGGTTCTCAATTCGACTGCTTTTTTTTGTAATCATTGTCAGTTCAATCCTAATATTCAAAATGTTATCCAGATAACAATAACCCACGAATCACTAAAACACCTAGCATGATACCTACTTAACTAGCTTACGGAAAGTCGAAATTATCTTGGAACTCTCAATAAATGTAATCAATAGTATTCACTAATCATTTGACGAGTTTGAGACATTTACGGTATTCTGTCAGAAAAACTGTTCCGAGAAAACTCATGTCAAGGTACACTCAGTGTTACCTTGTATCTTTTCATATTTCCTCTGTTCTGTAATTGGCTTTCAGCAGCAAATCGTATTTAAGCTTCCTGACCCCTAACATGTTTATTTACTCTAAATACGCACGTGGTTTAATAATATCGATAAGGTGAACATGCCGCAAAATAATTGCTATGTTAACTGCATATATTGATTCAAACATATAAAATATTCAACGTGTTATCATTCCTTATCGCTGACTTAGTTACATGATTTAGTTACATAAAATTGCATGAGTATTGTATAGCTCACAGGAAGTTTTAAGCGGCGTGAACATTGAACCTAACTATTCCAGAAGAATAGGCACGAACGGCTGCGATGATTCATGTGCGTTTTAAAAAATGTTTGCACAATATTATAACAAGCTTAATATATATGTTGCATCTTTATATTGCAATATGTAGACCCCTAGTCTGAACTTTAACTCATCACATGTACAGAAGGTACAAAGAACGGGTGAACGTTTAGAACGGTCGCCGTTCTAGAAGTTTCCAGAGAAGATTTTTCAGAAAAGATCACGAACCTTCTACGAGGCTTGCGGTGTACCTTAATTCTAGTTCTGCGATACAGCGAATAGCCTTTTTTTCTAAAAGATACTGGAGTGCTAGGAATAATATGCTATGACGCAGGGGACTTTACAGAGATTCATAAAACGGACACAAAGAACACCAAGACTCAGAACAATAATTGGTACATCAAACAAAGTTTTGTCCCATTTTAGACAAAAGAGGGTTACGCGCGAAAGAACAAGAACCGCCAGTCTGTTTGTAATGTCACTATTATAGGTTTTTTATCATGCTCACACGTTACCTATGCCTAAAAACCAGTTTATTTTTTTTGTCTGTTTGTTCCGGGTAATCTTCTAAACGGCTGGACCGATTTCGATAATATTTTACTTACAGGTAGCTGTCTACATAAGAAATAACTTAGGCTTTTTCCTCTCAGAAAAACCCTTTAAAATTTTGCCCGGTCTAAAATAAAAGCTAGTATAAAATAAAAACGAATGTATTAATATTTCCTGACTAACATAAATATCAGTATAAAAAGGGAATTTAAATGAGTAATATGACAAGGGGAATAACCGTATAATGGTATTTTAGTTTCTTGCACATGATTTAGTTATGTTAACTGTACTGTACCTAGTACAGATAGACATACAAGCGATATCATAGCCTAGACAGTTTAACAATTCCTTTTTGTGTATACCTATAGAGCAGGGAATAACCTCACGGATCGACTGACGGTTAGTGTGACTGAAACACTTGGAATTCAACTCAAAAATCTTTGAAAATTCAATAAGCACTACATTTTTCTAGTAAAAAATATCAAGATTTGTGTGCTTACCTGTACTGCTCTTCTTGAACACGCTAAACTTCAACAGGTTCGCCTTCTTTAGTGTCTCGCTCTGACGGAGGCGCTTTTCCTCGAACTTGCTGAACGAGGAGTGAGAGGTGATCTTTAGCCCACGATCTGTCTTTTTCTGTTCTGGTTTAGGCAATGTCGCCGACGACTCTTTCTCTGTATCACAGAAGGATATCAACATTATTTCCTTTGTCTACTTACAACTGGGATTCTTCGGTAATTTTACCAGATAATATAATAGCTAACTATAAAAAACCTTGTAGTACCTACATAATATTATACTATACTACCCTTGCGAAGACAGAGGGTTGTTAGTATACCATATATACTTGGTCAGGGGGTTCAATTTCAACTTAGGACAAATAATTGTGTGATGAGCATGATCATTTGTTCTGTGTCTGGGTGTAATTTATCTATAACTAGCTGACCCGCGCAACTTCGTCTGCGTCTTTCAATAGTAATAAATTTTCTCCGTTTTTGAAACATTCTTCATTGGTGCTCCGCTCCTATTGGTCTTAGCGTGATGATATATAGCCTATAGCCTTCCTCGATAAATGGGCTATCTAACACTTAAAGAATTTTTCAAATCGGACCAGTAGTTCCTGAGATTAGCGCGTTCATACAAACAAACAAACAAACTTTTCAGCTTTATAATATTAGTATAGATATTTAGAAATATTAAAGTGTGTTTATCGGCAATCTAGTTCCCATAGTACAGGCTCTGACTAGTTTGGAATCAGATGTGTGTGAGATGTGTGAATTTAGTATTATTATTTATGGTATATGACAGAATCCTCATAAATAGTGCTAAACGTTGATTCGCATTTTCATGAATCACTCAAGTATTGTATTTCGTAATTGTACTTAAACATCGTTGCGTTTGATTGGAATTTAAGGACAGCTCTGTCATAAGTGAAACGCTTAAGCGGTAGTTCTTAACAGATATTAAACTAAAGCAGATTAGGCAATACTTGAATATCGCCTAACCCGACTTTAAGATCCACTTGTAACGTTCTAAAATAAAACTCATTCACATCATCACATCAACAGTCTTTAACAGTCCACTGCTGCACATATGCCTCCCCTTAGAAAGGAGGTTTTGGCCTACTATACCACGCTGGCCAGACGGGTTAAAAATCGAAGTTCAGCCGTATCGTAGTAGACTCAAAGCCGACCCCAACCAAGTTTGGGGAAAAGGCTCGGAGGAAGAGTTCAAAAAGGACTTTTCAAAAAGAAACTTTTTTTAGACATTTTATTTGTCATTAGACAATAAAATGTCTAAAAGAAGGAATCGATGTTTAATAACGAATCATATAAAAATAATTTCACCTCTTATATCGAATAGGGGTCTGATGGGACATGGGACCTAACTGCAGAACAAATACTGTGTCGGTTAAACAATTGTAAGGCAAATAGGAAATTGGGGAGCTCATTCAAAAGCGTTACAGAGCCCGTTTATAAGAAAACGCGCGAAGAATCTCTGGCCTTGCAGCCTTCATAGTTCATAGCACCAGGAACCTCTCACTAGTAAACAGACCGAATAATTGGCACCTTGGCCTAATAAATTTAAAAATCATTTTAACTTTCGCTAATTCGGTATTATACATATTAGTTATTAAATTGAGTATATTATTTTATGTATATTGGTCTAAATATAAAACTTACTATGACGAAAAAGGATAATCAAGCAATTATTTTTTTTCTACTTTTTGTAATTTTTAAAGGAAAAACTTTACGAATTATGAATTCGAAATAGTTTCTGGGGCTTTGGTGTGTCATTCTATGACTAATATATATTGTAATACGCATTGTATGTATCAATGTAATAGGTTTTTTTTGTTTACAAGTGTAAGTAAATAAAAATACAATAAAATTTAACACGCGTCACCATTACTTCTGCTTTTATTTATTTATTGGTGGTAGTGTGACGTCATATCTTATGTAGTACATATTGTAGGTATATAGTTATAGATAAGTACATGGATCGGTAACTTGTGACGATGATCACCTATCTATTGTGATTGGGTTTTAATGTAAGGATTACCAGTTACTACATGAAAACCGGAACTGTTATTCTCTTTAAAAATAGATTACTGACTTCAATGCGCCTGCGCCTCCTTCATGATAAATTGTATTCTTCATTCCTTAATTTTTTTACTCTCACCCTGAGTCAAGCTACTGTCGGTGGCTTTGTGCTCATTTATATTTCTCATTTCGTGTTCCTAACTTTGGAAATGACAAACTGCCACACAACCATTCACCCATTATTTTAACACCTTGGGGTGAAATTCAGTCAGTCAAGGCAATTATTTATAATAATAATAATAATATATATATATATTATTATATATTATTATTATTATTTATTATATATATATATAATAATATATATATCGGAAATATATCCTGAAAGATGGTACGGTTGACATCTGTCGGGCATGCCACCGTCCTGGCGAATCAATCAGGCATATTATTTCTGGTTGTTCTCGTCTTGCTAACGGAGAATATTTGCACAGGCACAACCAAGTAGCCAGGATCGTACACCAACAGCTTGCCCTTAAATACCATCTTGTGAATCTAGAGGTGCCATACTATAGGTATGTGCCCGACCCAGTTCTCGAGAATGGTCGGGCCACGTTGTATTGGGATCGATCTATTATCACAGACAGGACTATCGTTGCCAATAAGCCTGATATTGTGCTGATAGATCGATTAGAGCGCCGCGCAATGATTGTTGATATCGCCGTTCCTCATGACGAGAATCTCGTGAAAGTTGAAAAAGAAAAACAAATTAAATATTTGGATTTATCTCACGAGATTGTCGATATGTGGAATGTTGATTCAGTGATCATTGTTCCGATAGTCGTATCTGCTCACGGATTGATAGCCAAGAGCCTCGACCAACACCTTAAGAGGCTCACGTTGGACGGCTGGATCAAGGGTCTGATGCAGAAGGCAGTCCTCCTTGACACGGCTCGTATAGTGAGGAGGTTCCTATCTTTGGAGTCCTAACCACCGGTGTCTTGGTCCCTGTACCCGATGTCGGTGGTCTACTATTTTTTATATTTTTAAATGTATTTTGTTATAATTTTTTATAAAGTGTATGTTTAAAAATGTAAATAATATGTATATAAAGTAAATAAAGAGAATAATAATATTCTACCACATTCACACAACGCCATCTAGTCCCAAGCTAAGCAGAGCTTGTACTATGGGTATTGGACAACTGATATAAATAGACATATACTTTTTTTTGTAAATACATACATATTATACATAGACCCAGACCAAATCAAACTTTAAATGTTCATGTACACAAAAAATAATATATAACCCAAAATATAACACAAAATATAAACATAAAATATTAGCCGCAGAACCGATAACCGTTGGGGAAAACGAGTTCTTGAGTGGAGACCGCGTCTCGGCAAACGTAGTGTAGGACGCCCACAGGACAGGTGGAGTGACGATTTGCGCAAGATGGCTGGCAGGAGCTGGATGCGAGAAGCCCAAAATCGATCTAAGTGGCGTGCAATGGGAGAGGTCTATGTCCAGCAGTGGACTGCGATAGGCTGATGATGATGATGTACACAAATCCTGTATCAATGTAGAAAAAAAACCCGCGACCTTTGGAATAGCAGGCAGTTACACAAACCACAACGCCATCCGGTCAGTTAATTTTTATACGTATTTGAATGAGACCAAACGAGAAGTATCCTCCCAAAAAACAAAAACAAAAGAATTTTCTAAATCGGTTCACAAAGATAGAATTCTGAAATAACAAACATTAAAAAACACAGCCTAATCGAGAACCTGTTCTTTTTTCTGTAGTTGGTTAAAAACATTAGATATTTCAATATCTAGACAATAACATATTACATCCACAATCATGTGAGTTACCTTGAGACGATACCTTATACCCATTATCATGTCTGAAAACTGTGAAATTATCACCATGATAAGTTATAGGAAGGTGAAGTTCAGATTATCAAGGAGTTAACTGTTATTTTTGTTGACTTAATCAGTTATCAGATCTATAATTACACAATGGTGCTAATTCTGTTACGTTACGTTACGTTACGTTACCTATTCTGAAAACATAGTATTTGACAGGACTAGAAACATTTTTTGTGATTTTTGGTTTAGTTTAAAGAGTTTTCGAACAACAGAATTAGTACTAATATGTGACAAAACAAAATATTTATTCACTGCTTGTCTACATTATATTTTTACTGATGTAATAAAGCTGTTTTTTTTTGTTTACTATATTAATCTCTGGATAATTCAGACTGCCAATTCAAATCTATTAATGGGTACTAAACATGAAACAGTAACAGAAATAATGAGCTATGACATCATAACTTATTATTTATCTAAAAATAAATACATAGATTATAATATTAACACAAATTAAAATTTTCAAGGCAAACTCATTTATTGCAACAATATGTTTCATCAACAGCCTTTACTAGTCCACTGCTGGACATAGGCCTCTTCTTACAAAGGAGGTTTTGGCCTACTACACCACGCTGGCTAGACGGGTTGGCATATGGTTTGTGTCAAGTTTTCTTTCTGTCTGCAGTGCTTGCTTAGTTTGCTTCCCAAGTCGCGTTTGACGACACCTACGAGATGAATATGTTTAACAGAGTCCAATGAAAATTCAATAGACACCTGTTTTAAATGCAAACAATCTAAAAGTGATACTACAATATAATTAAATAAAAAGGCAGGACAAAGACAAAACTGTATACACATTGTATACTGACAAATATCATCATAATTTTACGAAGAATAAAAATAATAGGTATACTCAATGACTATGTGTTGACTTTGTTAGAGAGACAGACATAAAATTTAGATGTTATTCTGAGTCATGTACTGTGTGTTCATTAAAAACATGTATGTTGGTTCCAGTGACTCCATCAACAGTGTCTAGCAGTCCACTGCTGGACCTACACCTCTCCTTAGAAAGGAGGTTCTGGCCCACTATGTGACTTTTCTAGCAGCAAATATTTTAGTTCAACAAAAAATTTACCACAAATATATAAAACACTGGGTTTTGCCAGTAGTTTCACTTGAGTCGATGTTGTTGTTATCATTTTTCTAGGATGAAAAGTTGCCTATGTCCTTTTCCAGACTATAATCTATCTCTGTACCAAATTTCATCCGATTCTGTTCAGCTATTATGGCATGATTGAGTAATAAACAAACATCCATTCATTCTTTCACATTTATAAGTATAGCAGAATGGATTTAACAGAGCTTTGAGAATATTCTTTGTACTCCTTTTGAAGCTAATTTTCTAGCTAGTTTTGTTGAATTATAAATTTAAAACATCTATGATGGCAACAATGACCTATCATAGTACCGAAAGTCTGTACAGGCCGACAGATGTTATAGTTCAACTTATACTGGACAATAAAATGAAACAAAACAATTTCAGTGTTTTATGGCTGAACTTCAACCCCCAGGTGATCTACAGTATGTATAAATATAGCTAGTAGAACTAGACAGGATGGAACTTCTTTCATAATCTCAGCTCACCTGCTTTTCTTTGACGCTGCATTTGTTCTCTGTGGCACTTGGAGCAGTATCCCTGCCACTGTGGGTTGCCGAAGTAATCACAGCCATTCTTGCACTTCAGGTCACTCTTGTCTATCCGCAATGATGGCATCTTGGATGCAAACATCATATATTTGTAAGATCTCTGCAGATTCGGGCCGTACCACATATTAACAATTATAAACTTCTATAGTAAACTTTAAAATTGGTAATCAGATACTTGATTTTTCAAATCAAAGTGGTTACCCATCCACTTTTACTATTTGGCCGTAATATGCACCAACACTATTGTATAATTTTAGACTTCTAATGTACTAAATTCAAACAGTTTGCCAAAACTAAGAAATGCAATATTTTCAACCCATTTTTGAGAGATTAAGGTGGAAAATTGCGGCGTACAGCGGAAAATAATGTACATCGCAATGTTGTAAAGTAACGGTGGCCGTTCAACGATTCCCTCCGTTATATACTGTGCTCTTATCGTTATATCAAGTATCTGATAACAAAATATATCTAACGAAAGGTAGACAAAGAAATATATATTTGAATTGTTAAGTTCCAAATATGGTAATAGTGAAAGATGCTTACCTTTTAATTCTCTATGAATATTAATATTATAACAAAAGTGAATCAGTATTACTTGTAAATTAATTAATAACGAATATAACACCAGAGCACAAAACAAATCATATTTGACAATTGATCACTTGACATTTGTTTTTTTTTTTCAACGTTACATAGAGTAACAACAACATTGACAAAGGAATACAACATTCGGCGTTATAAAAAAAAGGTGTGGACACTAAAACAACAATATTATTTACTGTGTTCAACTGTATTTTTGTTATCACTGTTCTCAGTAGCGCATTTTTCTAAAAGTCAAATTAATTCTAGCATCCAATAATTTCTTTCTCATTGGCAATGAGTGATACCAGATTTCATTTGTTGGTGGGTTCATCAGTAATACGCTTCCATGTTCCAATTCGATTTTTACTGAAAAAAAAACATAGTAACATAAACACAGAGGTTTTGTTTCAAAAGTATTTGAAATGACGAATATTTAAAACCTTATTGATATTTCTAGAAAGTTTATTTAGGACGTAATTAAGGGTACCTAGCGCAAGCTGTTCAACTAACAATTCACTATTTTATCATAACTTGAAGAGACTAGAAGCAACCCAAACCATGAATACGGATCGAAGAGCATAACGTTGTGTATATTGTATACTCTCTGAGCATGGCGAAGTTACTATGACAACGAATTGGGCAAACAAAAAACACAGTGGGTTTTTGTTAAATAGTGTAAAAGAACAATGGATTATATGCAGATAAAAGATGGTCAATATACTAAAACTATTTATACCATGGTAAGGAGATATGACACGCTCTAGAAGTAGTACCTCTCTACTTACTTTATACGATACTAATACTAATCTCATTAATCATCTTTAATATATATATGGTCTAAACAATAACTGCGAAGCTTTTAAATTGTGATACTTCAATGCTTATCTACAGCATCATTTAACTCTATCAGACTCTTTTTAGAACGATACCTACACGTCTTTAATACGAACATCAAAATAGTTGCCAAAAAAATTATGGTACATTTAGAGATAAATATTAGGGTAAAACAAGCAAAGTAACGAAAATCCAATAGGAAAAATTAGGCATAAAAAAAATGACATTTAGGTCTGGCTACTGCTGGCTTCCCGCCACTGAACTTGCGATAGAACTGTGTCACATTTAAATTCAAATGAGCATTAAACTATATGCTATAATATTGCAGCACGACATTATGCCGAAACGATATTCAAGCGCCCACCTAGCCTTACGCACAAGGTTGGTGTTACTTGTTATATGTAACTGTGAGGGAAGCAATTATCTCACCTACATATGTCTAGGTTTGAATAATGCCTAAGTGCTATTATCCTTTGAAGTGTTTGAATATTATAAGCACGATCAAAACCGATGATTAACACGTTCATTAGTTGTGATATTCTCTTTGTGTCGTTACACGTGGCATTCTCACTCTATAGAAATTTAAAAAAAAAACTTAACTGATTAAAGAATGTTTATGTACTGGAACTTTCTAGAAATAGTTATTTAGAGGTATGCGACCCTGATCTGAGGGGCTTGTGGCTAAGATGTAACCGAGTAAGTTAACACATAGCAGAGCAATCCTAAAAAGGTCAGTCTATGGATGGGTGACCATTCTTAACGCATTGAGACTCCTCAGTGAATCGCAAGTTAAGCAGTCGACGAGTCGAGTTACTATACGAACATCTGTGGCAATTATTACGTGTTGTTGGAGCCCTAAACAGTCCAACAATAGTCTTTCTACCGAACTCCGATATGCCTGGTACTTGGATTGTGGAGTTCTGATGGTAGTCGCTCCGCGTAAAAATCGAACTTCAGCCGTATCGTAATAGACTTAAAGCCGACCCCAATCAAGTTTGGGAAAAAAGGCTCGGAGGAGGAAGATGCAACCCTGGCCTGCTTGAGCTATTGATTACGCTCCGTCCATTTAAAATATCCCGTTCCCACTACCCCCTTACTTTCTAACGCCTTTCCTTTCAGTCAACTTTAAATTTTCCCTTCTAATCCGTAAAGTGCCCGATAGACGGCAACAGGGTCAATATGCTTGCCGCTTATTACGTGTACGGGGTTAAAACTTTAGTAGGCAAAATGCAAAGCGTTTAACAGGTCTCTGCGTACCCCTTCCAAGATATGAACATGAGTGTATAAGTATATAATATTTGAAGGAAATAATGGAATAACTAAGGCTCAGCACCTATTAGAATCGGTATTATTACGTAAAATACCTATAGTAAAATATACTTACCGATAATCCATTGAAGCAACCAAACAAGGATGTTTTACCTTCAAGGTTGAAAATTTGCGACCGTTGGATCATTACTAACATAGGTAACGTTATTGATAACAAAATTCAACTTCGTTATACGAAAACTTAGATTAGATTAACGAATGAATTTTATTTATTACTCTCAAAATTAATTTAATGTGCCAATTACTAATCACTTTATTGGTAAGATAAAGTTGCTGGGGCAAGATTATATGTTGTATAAAGTGAATAAGAATATAATAGTATATCAACATAACAGTTTATTTGATGTTATGTCGCCAAATGCGGTGACATCAAAAGCAAGCAAGATTTACATGCAGTATGAAATTATTTCAACTAAAGTGAACACTTTACTACACTACTAACATGCAAGCGTCTATTTGTTTTTAGCATAAACAATTAGAAATTATAAGAGAATCTTTTAAGTACAGGGGGAGATAAAAAAACTATAAAATGAATATACAACACCAGCACTGGGGTGCAGTGAGTGGAGTGGTTGCTCCAACTAGGTAGTACAAAAAACCGAAATGAATAATATATTTGCAATTAAAATTAAAAATAAAATAGCACTTGTTGAGGCACATCCTAAGCCTAAGTGATTAGATATTACTTGGCAATGAATATAATCTAATGACACTCTTAAGTTTTAGACTACGGTCTGAAAATATGCTATACTGTCTCTTAAGTTAGAGATAAAAATAATAACATGATTTTATACCATGATTTACATTATGCACGTGTACTTATCAACGTTTCTATCAGATCGATAAAAGCTTAAGGTGACACTCAGCCGCGACATGTTTTGATTGTCCTTTTATAACCTACTTGTAATTTAAATAATCTACTTGATAATCATTAAAGAGGAGTCGTTATTGCGTTAGGACCTAATTTTATTATCGTTTTGAAATAGTTGATGACCTTTGAATTGGTTGCAGATAAAAGAAGCAAGATATGATGATGCAATCAAGGCTCTCAACGACGCTGTAAATTTTAGCCCAAATCGAGCTGGACTGTCTCTACTAGGATTCTGTTATTTTAGAACACAATCATTTATCGAAGCTGCCAATTGCTATGAGCAGTTAGCATCTATGCAACCCGATATACCAGAGTATAAACTCTACTTTGCTCAAGCGTTATATCAAGCATCTATGTTTGATGAATCCTACAAAATAACCATGCAGATTGAAGCTCCTGAGTTAGAGAGGAAAGTAATTAAATTACAATCTGCCATCAAGTATGGAGAAGAAGATACAATAACAGCAAAAGGACTTGTCGATTCTTATCCTCAAGAAGACCCAGACAAAGATATTAATCTTGGCTGTTTACTATATAAGGAAAATCAGTACGAGGAAGCTTTGCAAAAATTTTCCAGGAGCCTCAACGTAGTAGGATTCAATGCCCACCTTCATTATAATATTGCATTATGTTATTTTAAGCTAAAGGAATATCCACAAGCATTAAAACACATAACTCTTGTCATTGAAAAAGGCATCCGTGACCACCCTGAGTTGGCTGTGGGCATGCAAGCAGAGACATCGGAGGTAAAATCTGTGGGAAATACACTGACACTGCATGAAACAGCCCTTACTGAAGTATTTAACCTCAAAGCAGCTATTGAGTACCAGCTAAAAAATATAGAAGCTTCGCGTGAAGCTTTAAATGATATGCCTCCCCGTCATGAACATGAACTAGATGCAGTGACTTTACATAACATGGCCCTAACGTCTATAGATATAAAACCCACAGATGGTTTTGAAAAACTTCACTTCTTGCTTCAGCAAGACCCTTTTCCGGCGGAAACGTTTGCTAATCTGCTACTATTGTATTGTAAGTTTGAGTATTACGATCTCGCAGCGGACGTGTTAGCTGAAAATGCCCAATTTACGTATAAATATTTGACTCCATATTTATATGACTTTTTGGATGCTATAATCACAAGCCAAACATCACCAGAAGAAGCGTTCCAAAAGTACGAAGATATTGCTTCAAAACACGCGGAACAGCTTAGAAAGCTTACAAAAGTTGTACAAGAAAGTCGATCCCAAGGCGATAACGACCAAGTGAAGAAAGCTGTTGTCGAGTATGAGGAAGCACTAGAAAGATACATACCAGTAGTTATGGCTCAAGCTAAAATTTATTGGGATATGGAAAACTATGGCCAAGTTGAAAAGATATTTCGTAAATCTGTTGAGTTTTGCAACGAATCTGACGTTTGGCGTCTGAACGTAGCCCATGTGCTGTTCATGCAAGAAAACAAATATAAAGAAGCTGCAAGTTTCTATGAGCCTATTGTCAAGAAACAGTATGATAACATTTTAGATGTAAGCGCAGTTGTACTAGCCAACTTATGTGTATCCTATATAATGACGTCTCAGAACGAAGAGGCTGAAGACATCATGAGGAAAATAGAAAAGGAAGAGGAGCAGCAAATATTCGAAGATCCACAGAAGAAATTTTATCACTTGTGCATCGTGAATTTAGTCATCGGCACTTTGTATTGCGCTAAAGGAAATTATGAATTTGGGATATCACGGGTTATCAAATCCCTTGAACCATTTAATAAGCGTCTGGGCACAGATACGTGGTTTTACGCAAAGCGTTGCTTTTTGTCATTCCTGGAAAACTTAGCTAAACACTTGATTGTCGTTAAAGATAACACTATAAAAGAATGCATGATGTTCCTTGAAGGTTGCGAGACATATGGCAGGCGAGTGAGTACGGTTATTGAGAACCCTTTCCAAGAAGAAGATGCTCACACAAAGGCTAAGCAGACGGTTACTTATGAAGCACGTTTATTGCGATATATGTTTTATAAACTAAAGAATATTGATGATTCTGTTACTATAAATAAGTATGAAGATTTAAAATAAATTCTTACCTGGGGGTATGAGTTTTTTATCTTTACCAGGTTTTCGAGCATCTCTATGTTTGAGCACAAAGGTACGTTCTTGACCTAAGGAAACTGAGGCTATGGGATAATTCGGATCCAATTCTGGTTCATTATCTCTATGCTCGCCCATATGATCATGCCCGTTTCTGTAGCTAAGACATAAATAAGGAAATTGATAATGTTATAGAAAATATACAACCCCATACAGATACATAAATATTATTTAAGTGGGATAAAATTACCGTTGGTAAAATGTTAGTATTTAACACACTTCTGCTTACGACTTCGGAGAGTTGGTCGTGATTATATAATTATGTAAATATTTCGCTTAAAGACCGAAAATATGTGTTTTTGAGCATAAAATTCACACAGACAAACAGCGAAAGTTGTTTTGTGATGCACTGTATAACTTAATAGACTAAATGTAAGCTTAGTAATATAATAAATCAAATGAAATAATAATCTTTAAATAGTTTAAAAAGAAATCGTATTTTTTTTTGTACGCTTAGATCTTTCAAGCTACGCAACGGATTTCAATGCGGTGTTCACCAATAGAGAGAGTGATTCAAGAGGCGGGTTTAAATATGTAATACATGTATATTATAGGGGAAGAAAACCAAGAAGGAGCGGAGCGGGCCTACAAATATGGAGATGTCCTGTAGTATAGTATTATCATGATTATAGTTTTATTAATAACTTCACACTGATACACACATATTAGTAGCATCTACATTGCACCCGTGCGAAGCCGGTGCGGATTGCTAGTTATAGATATATTACATTGAAGCATAAGTTTGTGCTAACCTGTGCATTCTTCAAAAAATTCGAGTTCGAGAGTGCCTGTTTAAGTTCATTCTAACAAAAAGGGTAGATTCTTGCAAAATATATTACATAGGTATGATAAAATATATACTATTGACATAAATAAATTTATATGACGCTAATAAAATACGAATAACTCACTTGTTGACAAGAACAAAGTCATATTTAATGCCTTTCAAGGAAAACAGGAATTCTCTCAAAGCTAAGACCGGATCTGGCCATGGTAAAGCTGGAACTGTGAGACCAGAATATTTATAAGTTATACCCGGATCACCATAAGCGACTTGCTGTCGTGGTAAAGGATACTCTTTACCGAATACCCTAGAATAAATATAAACTTTTTACGAAGAATACGATTTCTTATATGATAAAAATGAGTGAAATAAATGTTGCAGTATTTGTATTAATACTTTTTCATGTACAATACAAAGCAACGTTTAACTTCAAAGAATCCGAAATTCTCTCAAATTACATAAATTATTTTAATCATTTCTAATTAAAATGAGAAATACGAGCGTTACATCCACGTTTCACGTGGTTCAATATTGTGATTGATAATATTTTCCTTTTTGAAAAAGTAAACATGCTACTCACTTTATTTTTGATAAATCTCCAGTAAAATATTCCAGTGTTTCTTCTAGCTCTTGAAATAGTTTATTAGCTATATTTTTCGGAATTACTACCGAATATTCTAAATCAAGATCTTCCTGCTTGATATTTTTCCATTCTATTACAGAATTAATTTCTTTTAATTTTTCCATTCCTATCAAAAATAACTTTTAATTAGAGCTGGCAACATATTTTTTGACATTTTCAAAACAAATTTGTTTTGCGGTAGGGGTAGGCTAGAATTTTATAATAACAATATGTTGCACGACAAGGACAAACCATTTAATCGAGGTTTATTATTTTAATTATTACATGATGATCAATTAACTAAGTAAATTTTGGAAACCGAACTCACCGATTTTTTTGAGTAAGTATTTGTAATAGGTTCTCGATCTCGACCCTTGTAAGGTTGAAACTCAGTGGTTCTTTAATGTTGCCAGTAATGACATTGAAAGGCCTTATTGTAGAATAGTAAATTAGTACTACACGACTCACGAGCATAGAGGGTAGAGGTCAGGAGAACGGACTCATGTGGATGGGCCGGGGGGACAGGGGGCTCTCAATTCAGTTCCGATCAACTTTCTACCTCACAACTGTCATTAAAGATATTTTCGTAGTAAATCATAATATTCAGTCAGTATTAATATACAGTCAACTGCTGCTGTTATATAATATTCTGACCGAGAATAGAATCGGTAATCTGCTACTCAATACTTTACTATTTCACTGCGAAAATACCTTTTATGACAGTTGTGATATCGAAATGTGATCGCAACTGAAATGAGACCGCACTTTTATTACGAGAATTGGCCTTTAGATAAATAATAGTTCTTAAACCGACCAGAAGTCGGTTCTCCTTCCCTCTACCCTCCATATACCAACACGAGGCACAATATAGTAGAATACTGATAGGTGTACCTGAGAGTAGCTAATTACCTTTTTTATTTTCAGTTACTCGATGGAGAGAAAAGAAGGGCCCTTACTTCCTTTTTTTTGTTTAAGGTTTCATTATTGTGTGTCTGTCGACAGAACCCTTTTTGTCGAAAACAAGTAGGTAATCTTATGTTTGCTGTTTCCAAAAGAATAGGGAGCTACAATCTAATGCTTACATCAACTTAACTTAGTTTTTTACATTGGTTTTAAATTTTTTGATTGCTAAACTGGTAGAGAATACCCTAGACATTAAGTCCGTCAATGCAAAAATTAATGCAGGGTTAGAACAAATAAATAAAGAGAATAATAATATAGATATATCGTAATAAAAATAAGTAAAAAAAGCTGTTTTCAAATCAAAATTTATTCACAAACAATATGCGTTTTGAAATACACACAAACTCATATAAAGTTAGTATGATGACTGCGAGAGTGGTAACATGGACGTTGATACAATATTTTTATTATTTTCCATAAACCTTTGAAATGCTTCTGACCCCGTCAAAAACTTTTGTCTGGCTAAAGGAAAATCTACCGTTGCTTTTGAAACGAATGTGCCAGAACATGTTGTTGTATCATTAACGACAGTTGTGGAACTGAAAATAAACACCGAATTTAATCTTCTAATCAATAATAATAATCATTCTAAACAATGTAGAAAAACATACTTGGAAAAATCTAATAAGCAATCCTTATCGAAATATACCGAATACTCTCTGATCCTTCTAATGGTGTCACCATTATCGAAATCCGGTTCACAGTCATACTCGTACAACTTTTCGATTAAACCATCTTTATCTTTTACAGTCCACACATATTCACCGGGAAGCCCTTTCAGCTTAGGTGCTTCGGTACAGAAAGGTAACATACAAGTATCCGAAATTTGCGTGCAACTTGAACAACTCCGACTTTCACTATTAAGATCGTGAGCAGTTACATCAGATAACCGGCAGCAAGATGTTTTAGCTTTTGCCATTTGAGACTTCCGATTCAAAAAAGTATTAATCTCTGCTCCTACATCTGAATTTAGTAAATTGTCTTTACTCTTCACAATGAAACGACTGCAGTATGCCCTAAGATCATTGTTTTTTGATTTGTATACTTCATTTACTAATTCCAAGAGATTTGTTGAAGCCTCTTCCTTTTCCTGGGTCAGCTTTTTTATACGAGACTTTAAAAATACATTTTCTTGGTGTGTAACAAGATACAATTGTTGGAAACTGACGTATCTGGTTCTATTCTCTTTGATTACTTTTTGTGTGGTCTCTATATGCCGTACGAGTCTATTTTTTGCCATACTCTCTAATTGATACTGCATTCTTATATTTTTGTTTTCATGTATAGCTGCAATCAAGAGTTGCGCCAAATTTTTTCTTTCTTCGCAGAGTTCTTTTATTTTTTTTAGCAACAAATGATTAACCCTTGGTTTTTGTATAAGTTTGAACATCATATCTCTACTTGCATTTATTGATTTACGTACAGTATCTTTCAAATGTTCCCACGCAATTTCGTACATCAATATTGAAATTCTGTTGACCTCTGCGACGGCTATTTTTGAATATTCCTGAATCTTTTTACCATTGGCACTGGTGAAGATAGTTGCTAATTCCCGTTTTGTTACGGAATATAATTTGGTCATCCTTTTGTAACATGAGACAACTAGAGCACCAGCAAGGAACATAACACCGTGTAAATACATCATGCCAATTTGCTTATCACGCATGCGGTGAATAAAACTCAAAGGCGTTTGTCTGTGAAAGTTCAATTTATTTTTTTGCGGTATTGTGCTATTTTTTATATTGAAATGAACCAACGGTCTCATTTGGAAATCTGAAACAAATGCGTTCGATAAGATATCGGCTTATACTAACTAATATTATAGATGCGAAAGTAGGTATTGGTATATTATGCTTTCACGCCTTTACCACCGCTGATACTACTACGGGTAACCACATAAAGGTCCGAGGATATATTTTAGGCAGAAAAATAGTATTGTTTCCGAAGATAGAAAAACAACTTTAGGCCTTTAAATAAATTCACATGACCGCGCGCCTGCCATCGACATTGTACTTGTATTGGTCTATGTATCCGTAAGCATCAAACTGCGCGAATTAACTGAATGTCGAGTCGAGTCGATACATGTATAGCACTTGAAAGGCATGCAAGATCTTGTCTGTAAGTCATATATAAACGATAAACACTGTTTAGTTTGATCTTGTGCCGTGCCGCTAGTAGTTCCGCGCGGTTATGTGAACTTAGCCTTATACTTATTACTCTACTAACAATATGTAATAAGAAATTTAGATACTAGTAGTTGCTACTCACCTCCATCTGTAATATCTTTGCTTTTTTTTATAAGTATATCGATGCTACACATTGCGATCCACATGACGAAAGTCAAACCAAGTAGCCACTTGAAGGCAATATACATTTTAAAAATACGACAACCCTTTGGCATTCAGATATTATTTGACATGTAAAATTAAAGAATGTTACTACTTTTACTGTAAATTTATAATAATCTAAACAAAGCATATTTTGAAAATTATGAAACCTCTGACAAGATGTGACATTTTCACAATGAACGCGTTGTCACTCTTACTTATTTTTCTTTTTATTAGTTGTCAACTCGGTGCGTGAAAAATACAATAGACGGGCAAGAGGTCAGATATCATCGTAATCCTAGTCTATCGTAATAGACAGAGCAAATTAAATATTTGTTTTTTTTGGAGTTTACTACTTACTTGAGAATCGATTTGCATATAAGGCGCCCGGTATGAAAAAATTATGAAGAGTAAAATGTAGTGATCGAATGACCTCGTGACGTTTGTTCTGCGCAACCTATCCTATACCTTTAACATGTGTGTGTATAACTTGTATACTTGTGTGCAGCCGAATCGTTCTTAACAAGTAATCTCCAGTCGTGCGTCGGAGCTGACACACACAATTTTTTTTTAATGTGCACAATTCTCAACAGTTTCCTCAGTTCCCTTGAAGCGTAAGATAAGTGGTATGTTGCACTCGATTCGACTTCAATCATAAGTTGTTGTGATATGAGTCTGTTACAGGGATGAGGATAAGGATACCTTAAGAAGAAAGTCTTCGCAAATGCTTGTAGGGTTTGGCCGCCTAATCTACCGGCGACCATACCGTGGATTGGGTGAATGATGGCAGTGGTGCGTAGAACTCGAGCTCACGTCCTAGGGTTGCTTCTGCAGAAAGAACTACACACAGCCCAACCTGTTACCACTGCTCATGGACGTCAGAGATAATTTTGCGCTCTTCAGCTTACAGCTACATCTTAAGCGGGGCGAGAGTGCTTGGCCACTTCTGTTTCCGTACCCCCGTGTCCCCTTTGGCCAACATCGCTTAATCATGGGACTGTATTGCACACCTTAATAAAATAATAATGATCATTTTGAAGAAATTTCTACTCTTTATCTTGATCAAAAAAGAAAAACATTGATAAAATACAAATATTTCTTTTTACGCAAGAAATAAAATTCTTACTTTAATTTTCTATACTTCATCTACACACTGTATTAAACGACCATTACTCAAACTAATATGTTAGAAAAAACTTTAAGTGTTTCGTTGATGATAGAAGCTGTAATACCTATTTACGGTAGTTTTGGGAGAGCATTTTTGTTAGCAGGCATTCACATCCTCTGCAAAAGTTGGCAAGATTGCTGTAGTGAGCGACAAAGATACAGCAGAGCCTAAAAGGCCGACGGGACAAAATGCACATTTTCAGGGTAGATTTGAGCCTATTACCGTTAAGTTAATGGGTTAGAAAAGCCCCTCTGATAAAAATCTGGTTTAAAATAATATTTTTATTTTTCAAAAATAAACATTAACTATTCTAAAACAAATTGCACCTAATCTTTTAATCTCAGTAGTCTCATTAGTTTTATTCTCAACGCCAATTTCAAGAGGGTGAAATTCTTTTTGTACCATTCCATGTTATAATTTAAATGTAATTTCCAGTTTTTGTCTAAAAAAGCTTTGTAGAACACACTCATCTCATCGGCAGTTAAGTTTTGTTTGTCAGCTGGCAAGTTTTTCTTTACATAGTCTTCTCGCTCCTGTAATTACAATAATGGTTTATTGATAATAATTATGGACCTATAACTTTTTTTTTCTTGTAAAGACAACTCCCGAACTAGGAATAAATCCTGTGTTGCGGTGGACTTTTACAAACATACATAAAACGGACACAAAGAACACCCAGACTCAGAACAAGTGTTGCCCCATATGAGAATCGAACCCACAACACTCAGTGCAGTAGGAAGCGGCGAGGTGACCGCTTAAACCACTATGCCATACGTGCAGTCGAAAATATAAAACTGGTATAGTGTAGCTTAAGATAGCACAGTTATGGCTTTAATGGTTTTTAGTTTTTTCTAGAGATAATCTCTTTTTTTTCACATAGCCTTCTAATCCCAAACCAAGCAGCCTACACTATGGTAACCAGACCGCTGATAAAATAATATATTACTAAATAGATATTATAGACTTATTTATGTGACTAAATAGTAACATTACATTACAACGTAGGTAGTGGTAGGTCAGTTTATAGATGGTGACCATTCTTATCACATCGAGACCCCTAAGTACCGCAGTCCCGGTTGTCATTTGAACATCTTTGGATCAATCATTATGGTTAGTTATATAATAATAATAATAAAGCCTTTATTTTCGAACTAATTTCATGTTACATATTTTCGTGTCTTAATAAAAAAATTGAAATAAAAGTATTTAAAAAGAGTTTATAAAAAAAAGTAAAACTTATAAACTAAAACTACACTTTCATTATAAGATGTCTCTTGGTTCGGTTTGCCTTACGGCAAAGGCCTCCTCCAAGTCTCTCCATTGCATTCTGTCTGCCGCTACTCTCATCCAAAGTGGTCCTAAGGTCATTTTTAGGTCATCCTCCCATCTTATTGCTTTACGACCTCGGCTCCTTGTGCCATCCCTTGGGTACCAGACTGTCACCTGTTTGCTCCACTTTTCCTTCTTGCAGCGGAGCATATGTCCAGTCCATCTCCATTTGAGTTGATCAATACGTGATAGTATGTCAGTTAGTTTTGTTTGGCGCCTGATGTCTTTGCTTGTAACTTTGTCTATTAGTTTCAAACCTAGCATACTTCTTTCCATGCTTCTCTGACATCTTGCTAATTTGTCCCTATGACGTTTCGTCAAAGCCCAGGTTTCACAGCCGTATGTAATGCATGGTAGGATACAGGTGTCAAAAGTCTTCTTCTTGATCTTCATGCCCAGTTCTTTGCTTTTCATGATTTCTTTCAATGCCCAATACTTTTTCCACCCAGTCGCAATTCTTTTGTCTATTTCCTTGGACATTTGGTCTGTTATCGATATTATCTGGCCTAGATACACGTATTCCTCTACATATTCAAGTTTCTGTCCGTTTATGGTTATGTCTATAGGTATTGAGTTGGTCATCATTTTAGTTTTGCTTGTGTTAGTTTCTAGTCCTACTTCTCTGCTTCTGTCTACTAGGGTTTGTATCATGGATTGCAGTGTCAGTGGGTCCTCTTCCAATATAACCAGGTCGTCTGCAAATCTTAGATGATTTAATCGTGCTCCGTTTATGTTTAGCCCCAGATGTCCCCATTCCATTTTTCTGAACATTTGTTCAAGCACTGCTGAAAAGAGCTTTGGTGAGAGTGGGTCACCTTGTCTGACGCCCCTATCAATTGGAAAAACATCCCCTGTAGATTCTAGCCTGATTCTAGCTTTGCTATCACTGTAAATATTTCTGATGATATTAATGTAAGCGTTTTGAATCCCCTGCTCTTTAAGACTTTGCCATACAGATTCATGTTTAAGGCTATCGAAAGCCTTGGAATAATCTATAAAGGCCAGGTAAATGGTTTTGTTATATTCACTGTACTTTTGTATGAGCTGTTTGATTGCATGTATATGATCAATTGTATTGAAGTCTTTTCTGAACCCTGCCTGTTCCACAGGTTGATTTTCGTCAAGTGTGACTGATATTCTGTCCAGAATCACTTTAGCGAAAACTTTATATACATTTGAAATGAGAGAAATGGGTCTATAGTTTCCTATGTCGTCTTTTGGACCTTTCTTGTGTAGAAGTATTATATGAGATTCTGCCCATTGGGTTGGAATGCTGCCGGTATATAGACTCTCGTTGAAGAGCTTTGTTAGTATTGGGCTTAGATCTTTAATTGTCCCTCTCATGAGTTCGTTTGTGATTTTATCTGGACCGGACGCTTTTTCCATTTTTTGACTTTTTATAGATTTTTCCACTTCCGATACTAATATTTCAGGTATAACTTCTGCGTCCTCCATCATACAGTTTTGTGTACTATTAGATTCTCTATCCGGCAATTGTATTTTTGGCTGATTTGGACTGTGTTCTTTGTACAGTAAGCGGTAGTAGTTTGTTGCTATATTTTCGATTTTCCTGCGAGAAGTGGATGACATATTTTTATCTGTTAACTTTGGTATCCATTCTTTTCCCTGTTCTCGGAGTTCCTTGAGCGCTTTCCTCGTGCCCCCCGTTCTGCTAATGTGATTCTCTAGGGTTTGGATTCTTCTATATTTCCTGTCCTTCCTCATGCTTTCGCGAATCTGTTTACTAAGGTTGTTGATTTCTTTTTGGTTTTCTTTCTTATCCTTTTCCATTTTTAGATTTCTTCTGTCTTCAATTAGTTTTAAAGTTTTTTCGCTATGATGGGACTTTAGACTTTTGTTTATTTGTATTCTTGCCTGTTCCCTGAGTTTGTTTTCTATTATTTTATATTTTTTGTTTAGGTCCATGTCTGAGGTAACTACTTCCATTAGGTCTTCTGTGGTATCGTTTGGGTTACTCTTTTCTCTAGTTGCTTGTAAAAAGTTCATTTGAATTGCTTTTGGTTAGTTGGAGCCCCTAAAAAGTCAGGTAGACTTTCTACAAAACTTTGGTAGCTCTTAGATTGTGGAGGTCTGATGGCACTCGCTCTGCAAAAGTAAGGTTACCAGAGGTCCAACCTTAACCTTTAATTTGTGAAGAAATCCAAACCCTACAAGGGAGGAATAAAAAGGCAGTAACACACTTTTGAGTTGTAGGTGCAACAGGTAACCAGACGAGTCAAATGTCCCCTATACCAAAAAAGAACTTACTAGACACCATTGCCTCTATGAAAGCGAAAAATAAATAAGATTACCTGGTAAAATCTTGAGTTGTGTTGGGTCCAAAATTTTTGATTCCACTCCTGTACGTCTGCTCTTAACTTTCTGTATCTTTTTTCTAAATGAGTTTCATTTAACGGTTCTTTAAATATTATAGTTCTCAAATTTGAAACAGGATCTGGAGGCCCCACCATATCACTACAAATTCTTTTCGGGTTCGGAGGTTGTATTGATTTCGTGTCTTTCGTAGTGCTCGTAAACCTCACAGCTAGAATACATGGTCTATGTACATATAGAGTGAGTCTCCTGGACAAAATCATGTTAGATAATTATTATAACATAATCACATTTTCCAAACAACCATCGCAATCACAAATCGCAATATTTAACTGTCAAAATCAGCTGCAAACTATAGACGATTTTCGTCTTTTTTTAATACGAGTTCACTCCATTTCACTTAAACTTTCTTCAGGTTCATTTGTCATATTCAATTTAAGAGTTTTAAATTGGTAACATATAAAAATTATTTCCAATTGTTATTTTAATTCAATATTTTCATATTAAGACATTGACGATTTTTTATTAAATTATATTACTTTTTTGGACTGGAGACACATCTGTAAGAATTTGTTCTTCTGCTCTCCCCGGTATTCTCTTTTTCTAAATCTAACCAATCGGGGAGTTGATTTAAAACTATTTTATTTTCATTCTTAAATCAGTCATTGGTGCAATCTTGCAAGCTTAAAAGCGAATGAAAACTAGCCGTCTCTCTTATCTGTCAATTTTTCACTGTCGAATTATGTAAAGGTGTAAAATATAATTTCTATTTAGATTTAAAATTGAACATTTGTTGACCACGTGAGGATTTGCGATAACTTTTTTAGAAGGCTGATCAATCACTAAATATAAAATGGCCAAAGAAAAGGAAAAGAGCCCTGAAGAAATATACGCCGCGAAGTTAGACATGTGTATAACTGACGGGATTGTAAAAACAGGTAAATTTGTTGTAACCGAGCACATCAAATGTGATTTAGAAGTGAATATTATCTTTTGTTTTTAGTTTTCCTTTAGCTACGTATTACTGCAGTGGCTATACATTCCAGGCTAGTCTTATATTCTCTTCGATATTTCTATCTTTATACCAATATTCCAAATTATGCTAAATAGGTACTATCTGCACACTTCTCACATTTCTCGTTCTCACATTAACTTTTTGTGTCCATAACAATGTGGTACTTAATTAATGTTTTTAATTATTTTTTCTTAAACCACTACCAAGAACGTTGTCTAATCATTTCGCGTCGTTGGGTGGAATTTAGAGGACAATTTAAAAAGAAACCATAGTTTCAACATTTGAAAATCTTTATGCACCTTTTGTTACAATAAATAATTTATTATTATATTAAAATAAAAATAGCAACAACAATGAGCACAGTCAATACAACCTGAACGAAACATTTAATTAATTTTAGGATATATAATAAGTATTAATCATTTGAATTTCCTTAGTAGTAATTATAGTTTATTAATGTTCTAGAAGGCATAGTACAAACTATGTTATAGTACAAAATATACACACGTCAACACGTCTTGCTCGGACGACGACTGCCGCGTCACTGCCACACGAATGAAAGTTGTATATTTACAAGCCCACGCACACATAGGGCCACGCGCACAACTGAGTTGAACTATCTATAATTTGTAATATCTTGTTAATAGGTAGTAATATTTCCCACGATACAATTATTTTTTACTTCATTATTATTTGTTTTTAACTTATCTTTTTATCTTTTTTCTCCAGGAGGTGGTGTCCTACTTGGTGCTTTGACATCAGTGCTATTCCTTGGTCGACGAAGATGGCCTCTCATAGCTGGTATGGGAGTCGGTATTGGACTTGCCTACGCCAACTGCGAGTATGAGTTAAATCCTAAAAAAGACAATACCCTATGAACATCATTATTGTAGTAATCAGGTAGGAATTATATTTAGAGTATTGTTAATGCTACAATTGTTACGAGGTGTGCTTTTTTTTGTCTAATTTACATCATCTTGGTTTTGGACAAAAAGCAGTAATTCAGAATTGCTCATCCTTTTAGATAGATCTTATTAAAAACGGTTACTTATTGAATGTACAATAAAAAATGCAGTTTCTGGGTTGACATGGTTTGGAAGATAATTTTATTTAAACATTATATTCTGGCTTACTGAGTTTTTATTCACCGATGTAGGAATGTTAAATGTACTTTTAGTTGGAAATCATACTAGATTGTTGAAAGTTCTGAAACAGTCATAATAACAAATGTAACAGTGTATAATGTAGCAGACTCATTATGATCAGAACGCCAATTCTCGTAATAAAAGTTCGGTCACAATTCAGTTCTGATCAACTATTGATCTCGCAACTGTCATAAAAAGTATTTTCGTAGTAATACTAAGACTAGCAGATAACCGATTCAGTTTTCGGTTACAATACAAAATAATCACATTGTAGTCCTACTTTGCTACCTTAATATTATGATAGTTGTGTGATCAAGAGTCGATCGGAACTTAATTGTGATCGAACTTTTATTACGAGAATTAGCCTTCAGTATAAAAGTAATGTACATTAATTATTTATTTTGACCTCGTGTACAATTTTGCATTTATTCTCTGTCAAAAGAGTACATATAAATGTATTTACATTAAATCTGTTTATTATATTTCTTGTATAAGTTGAAATGTTTTGTATGCCTTATCATTTATTTATTTACATTATTCTAAATATAGTGTTTGATTGAATTACACGTATTTATAATGATTTGGTTGTATTAATTATTGTATTGCAATAAAATTTGTCTCATTTATTTATGAGATAAATTTTAGAATGAAAAGAAAATGTTGTTGACGCAAAATCACCTACAAAAATATGTGACGAGACACTAGTATTGCTTATCATTATTTTTTTTGTGAAAAGTGATGTTTGGCAACACTGCGGTCCCTTTGTATTAGGCATGGGACAAAAACACATTGAGTTCATTTATTTAGTTCATTTAGATTTATCATTCGATTTTTTCGTACGTAGGTTAGGGTTACTACTTACTCACGCGTTCTTGCCAATAAGCTGTTTTCAGACGATGCATAAAGACCCTATTTCGATTATTTAACAGTAAATCTAGCAATTTTTTTTTTAAATATAGCTACCATCCCTACATTATAATTTAAAAAATACTAGATTTACTGTTAAAAAGCGTCTAACCTACCTACATAGCAACCCTAACCTACGTAAGCCAAAATTGAATGATAAATCACAGTCCACTGTGATTTTGTCTCATATTTACTTTGTATCGTCACGCAAAATTGCACCACACCTACCATTTTAACTTTTCTAAACATATTAATTTGACTTAACTGTATTTCTTTCCGTTCTTTTCATATTCCCATAATTTCAGAAAAATAAAATCATCACTAATCGATATATCACAACATACCTTGAAAAGGAATTAAATATCACAGAACGCGAAACTTTCAAGCAAGTTAATACCTGTGGAACATACATTGCCCGCATATGCGGTTATATACTGTTATATTCAATTTCCATCTTCAAACTTATTGTTTTTAATTATTTTCTTTTTTTTTATAGTATGGAGCTGTAATACCATTCAAATCAACTGACATCTGGTGCCCACACGTCAACATTGTGCTACCAAAAGTAGATAAATTATTTTAGAAAATATTTTGCTGTACAAATAATTATTATTTAATTATTATGTAATACATACTCTTTATTGACCACGTTTTTTGTTTTCTTTTCCTATACTGTAGTCTGAGACGTCTACAACTTTTTCTTGCAATATTTATTATGATTAAATTCTCTGTTGTATTAGACATGAACCTGCTGTCGGGAAAGTAATAAAAATATTTTATACATCTCAGACACGACAGCCTGAACCCAAAGTAGGCAGAACCTGTAATATAGTAACCACTGGTTACCATAATCGTAGTACAGGCTCTGCCTAGTTTGACAATCTGATCCCAAACTTGGCAGAGCCTATACTATGGTCACCAGCCTGCTGATAAACATTCTCAGATATTTCTGGGGTCTGAGGTATCAGTTCATTTTACAAAAGCTATTCCAAGGAATTTTATTTCTGTTGAGACTGACCATCTATGATTGGTCATAATCGTAGTTTCATAGCTCACTTAAAGCGACAACTGCTTGAGGTACTGGTCATTTACAGCGTGATTCACAGACGGCATTTAGTAGAAAAAATCTGGGACCTGGATCGCAGTGATTGCACCATTCTTTACAATATGTAATAAATTATGCTAAAAAGATTCGAAGAAATTCTTTGAACTCTTGGTTATTTGCTCAGCTATGTGAGGAAAACGACAGTCTTTACTCGGTTACTTCAGCACACTGAATCGCTGCATATCAAAAGGCTCTTGCTTAGCAAAATTTTCAGCTATTTTTGAATATGTGTTGGAGTATACACAAAAAAAAGATCCGACAAGAAAATTTTGAAAGAAATTTGTGAAACAGATATTCATTACTTGACTAATATCTTTAGTATGTTTAACACAGTTAATTTGCAGCTGTAGAGTGAAGATCTTAACTTGATTAAAACTAAATTAGTAATATCGGCCTTTGTGGGTAAACTTATTCTTTATAAAAAAAATAAGCAGAAAAGAATTCTAACAGTTGCCGCATATGTAACAATTAATTGTTACATATAAAAATAAATATATATAATAAATACACATACCAAAAATGCTTCAAAACGATGTTACTTTATCATAATGTAAGACGCATTACACAAGGATTTTACTAGTTTGGGGTCTTTTAAATTTACAAGTTTCTTAATGGATAATAAAGCTATTACGTCGAGTGTTGTGGGTCCAAACCCCAGGTCCCAGGTCCCAGTGGGACAACACTTTGTGTGATCTACAAATTTTTGTTTTGAGTCTGGGTGTACTTTGTGTCCGTTTCATGTATGTTTGTAAAGTCCCCTGCGACACAGAATGTATTCCTAGTGCGGGAGTTGTCTTTAAAAAAAAAAGCCGTACAATATTACAGCCATGGAAGAAGATAATAATGTAGTAAGAAGAGTTGAATGTAAAAAGACTTTGTGGGGGTATGTGACTATCCCCGACTATGTGACTATAAATAGTAATAATCAACAACTCCGTAAAAATATTATATTTCTCACATACATAACGTAATAGCTAGTAGACAAAATCCCTCTTCCAATTTTTCAAACAACCTATGGCAACCGTTAGAGTTTCTTGTTGCAGCACAGCATTGAAACACAGTATTCCCTATTGTGGAATATTGCTGCAAATTACCTTATATTCCTCATTCCTAGTAGAAAAGGGCTTCAGTGTGGTTACAAACATTTTGACAAAATAAAGAAACCGTTTGAAAATCAACGAACGCGGAGATTTAAAGCTGCAACTCACTCACATATTGAACCAAATTTAGCTAGATTGGGAGAAAGTGAAAGAAACGCTTGTTATCTATTTATTTTATTGAATTTTGATGAAAAAATTATGTCAAGTTTACTCAACTAACTGCAGTTTTTCAGTCGGTAGGTATTTTGTATCAATAGGGGAAAAAACAAGAGATAGGTTTTAAAGTAATTTGGCTGGTCTGAGGTATCAGTTAATTTTGGAAAAGGGGTCTCTTGCCTTAAGTAGTTTGGGAATCCCTACACTAGACCAACAGGCCCGTTTAATATACTAAATACAGATCTCAGACTATTCGGTAAAGCCGACTATTTGGCAAACAACGCCAACTATCCAGCATCTTCTTTACTCAATTGGAAAAAAGAAATTTGACTGTTATGATTAAATTTTAATTGATCTCCTTCACTGAATAATAAAGATATTTTCTTTATACAAACATGTTCCGACGTGCTCGCTGTCTGCGGTCGCGACTTGCGCACATTTCAACTGTAAACGAAACGTCACGGACAATGCCGAATATCCCCGAAATCGTTATCATCTTGGTTGACTAGGTAAACTAAAAATGCAAGAATATACTCCTGTCAAATAATTTTAGATTTTATTCTGTAGATGTAGAATTACATTTGCAAATCTTATTTAACTTGCTCAGTCTTAGAAAAACCGAACTACAAACATATTGCGTGTGTATTCTTTTTCCTAGCATACATAACAATATTTCCGTGTGGTATTAAGAATACGGAGTGTCACCACCCCTATTCATCTCGTGGGTGTCCTAAGAGCCGATTAAGGGAGCAAAATACGCAGTAGAACAGCACTGCAAAGAGAAGGAAAACTTGAAACAGACCCTATACTAACCCGTCTGGCCAGCATGGTATAGTAGGCCAAAACCTCCTTTTTAAGGCGAGGCCTATGTCCAGCAGTGGACTGCTAACGGCTGACGGTGATGACATAATACAGAGTAAATAATACACACTAGTAAAGAACAATATTTAATAATTTATTGTACAAATCGATACTGGAATTAAGATAAGGGATAGATTTAGTGTATCTTAACAATAAAAATAATTTAAATACAACAATAATAATATTTTAGTACAAGAAAGCATTACCAACATCCCATATACAGACATACTTTCTGGCGGTTATTATAAGTATAAAATGGCAACACAGGTGGAAGAATACATAAAGACTATTGATGGGAGAAGGTACAGTAACGTTGTGGGTGTAAACATTATGAACTTTTTTATGCATCACAAATTCACACGAGCATACTCTCAGTGTCTAGAAATATCATATGACCGCAGTCTGACAGAGAAAATAACTTTTTCGTTTGAAAATGAATACAACTTTACTATTACTGTTTTGTATCCTAGAAAAAAAACCTGGATAATTAAAACATGATTTGACAAGGAAATTAGATAAAAAAATAAAAGCAACATTTTTGATTAGACGTTCTTGACACCATGACTGACTCGGCGTTGATAATCTTTATTCCCATGACGCAACTATTAACTCCATAAACCCATTAATAAGGACAAACACATGTGTATAACACATTTTGTATGATACAAGTATAAAATGTGTCTTTATTTCCCAACAATTTTATTTCGTTAAAACAAAATGCCTTTTACTTTTACCAAACACTGTTGTATAGAACAAAATAAATTATTATAATAAACATCGTGTTTTATACAATTAAAAAAATAGGAAATATCTAAAAATAATTTTTAAACATTCAGCTACCGAAAAGTTACAGTACCAATATGTAAAAAAAAATCTAGGTAAATGGCAACTGTTTTTTTTGTTACTGGCAAGCAGGAACAGCTCACTTAACAATAAAAATGGCAAACTAACGCAATTCTCTTCATTCCAATTTCAAATAAAGCAATAAAATTTACTTATAACAACTAAGAGATATGGCCTTCCATGTATTGACCTTAGGAACCGTGTAGTTTTACTAACATAACCGCAAAACTATTGACACAATGAAAATTACCAATACATCATTCCGATAAAACATTGCAGTATAAAACTTTTTTTGTCCAACCATTACTGCACATATAAACACTAACTATAAGATAAATTAACACAATTTCATTTGGTAACATATATATTTGACTAGTAAAGTGTTCATGACAACCTATTTAAAACAGTAACGACAATATACTGATAAAAACAATATTAATACTATTTCAATACTAAACGAAGTGTGTGACTTATTTTTAAATAGCTCCAAATAACAACTTCATTTTTTTTTAATTTGTTCAACACATTCTTGTGTAACGAATTATAACAAAATATATCATTCATTGATTTAATACGCGCATAATAACTAGTTTGTGTTTCAAGAAATAAAAAAATAATAAAATTTACTATGATACCATTTACGTCGACAAATTGCTCTGACATATGTTTTGGCGCCATTTTGCGCGTCTGCAGTACAGAGTCAGCTGTTATTTCTGCCTTGGTATTAGCAGTAGTATTCGTAGCATTCACTAGTATTCGCTAGGCAGTATTACGAAGCGCAATTCAAAGGTAGAATGTATAATAAAGACTTAATAAAAGATTTTGCATTTGCGTATCGTTAGATGAGCGCATAGATAATTTAATTAGGTACATCAAAAAACCTACATTTGAGATCTGTTTTATCAAATGAGATTCTAACGTTATGTTTATGTTATTTATTAATAACTTGACACATCTCAAACACAGGTGTCTGATTTCAAACTGACAGACTGCTGACAAATATATTTATATACACAATTATTTGTTTTGGGGTGGATCAAACCATCATAATTATATAAAAAACCAGTTATAAGGTTATTTTGAAATTTTATCAGTGTTTGACTCTATTTGTAAACAGCTGACGCTGAGTGTGTTATTCGACTGATAGAGATAGTCAATGATGTCTAAGAAATTACTTACCAAACATTACTATGAGGTGCAGTGACGTAATACTGTCCTTATTTATTGTATATCTATAGCCTAGTTATTGTGATACCGTGAGACAAACTGCTAATTTACAGCTAAATTTATTTATTTATATAAAAGTGTGAATAATTTTTTTATTCGTATTTTTATGCAGAACTTGAATTGAGACCGATGTTGGGTATTATTAAAATATCTGTATAATAATTAATTAATACTTTTGACATTTTATTTTATTACTATTGTAATATTAACTGCTAAGGCCAGGCCGCAATCGGGCCGTGTCACGTTTTGGGTCCGCACCTAATCCGTGACATGGCCCAACTGCGGATGGAACTGCACACTGTGCCTAACATGAATCATTTTGCGGATGTGTTGATGAAATACCGACAGGCAGGCATTTTAGTCCCGACTAATATCGTTTAGTCGAATATAAAATAGTTAATACAAAAGTATGCTTTGTATGATTCGCTGTGCCCCTTACTGAGGGCAAATTACGCCGGATTCGGCCTGATGCCATCCAGTCTCAATTCAAATACATTCATACAATAATTTAGCTAAGTTCTGTCGCAGACAGTCAGTCCGCCTACTTATTCAATAGGCACTAATATTTGGCCCAAGGTTTTAATCATATCTCGATTGAACTGAAACTTTCAAAAACAGTGAAATTTTGACATTAAACCCTACGGAAAAACATTTGCAAGCTAAATAGACCTAGAGGTAATGGAAGTCTGTTCTTATATCTGGAAGGTGATCCCTTAAGTTCGCCGTCCTTAAAGATCACACCTAGAATTGTAGTGATCATGGAACATTTAAATTAAACCAAATTAAGTGGGATTGTGTGATAGCCAGGGCGGGAGAGAATAGCTCTTCCTGCAGCACTAATACATTTTATTTTTGTTATTTTAAGTATTCTACCCACAAAATATATGAAGACATTTAAGAGACTTCCATTTTCCTCTTCACGCAAGCGTATAACAGAACGACAGCCAATGTGATGACGTCTTTAAGCTTTTTTGCTAACCTCAAAATTTGACAAAGTTCCTTCAATCCAAATATATTTAAAACAATTTATATTATATATCAGTATGTCGATTTGTACTGTAACACCAGTCTATCGACAACGACATATATTATAGAAAGGCAAACCGTTACCAATAACTATCACACTTACATTATCTATGGTCGACACGGCAATAACCGGGCAGTATATTTTCTTAATAACGAACATCAATTTTGGATGTAAAATAAATGTTTGACTTCATTTGAATGTTGGCGTGACTAAGAATAAAAAAGCTTTTTTTAGTAGTTCGTAACACAGAAGTTAGATGGCGTTATATTCAATATAATTTTACATTAAAAATGTTGTAATGCAAACGAAACGAAACCTGAAAAATTGCATCATAACTATTACTATTCAAACCGATTCTACAAACCTTTTTTTGTTTTGTGAGTTGGTAATTTATGAATTAATCGATGAATCGATTAATTCATAAATTACCAACTCACAATATTCGATTCGATTTTAAGTTAAGACAGCATGATTTTTGTCTTCTTAAGTCTGGTGTTGGTTTTTAAAATAAGACGACGCCTGACCATTTGTTTAAATGAGTAAATATTCGATCTGTCCAAATTGTAACGAAATAAAAAAAAACAATCAGAAAACCATCTCTTACAATAGGTTCTCATAATGAATTATTAATGTTATCTAATCTTTACTTTTTCCCAAAATAATCATCTTACGATATTCCATTAAATATTTTACTATCCAAGTCTATCAAAAGATAAAGTGTGTTGTGTGAAAATGACAAGTATGATTTATTCGATTTCATATCGATATTTGTAGAAATGTCGACAACTGAGATCGAATTGAACTGAAGTAGTAGTAACTGAAGAAAAAAAGTACCTATTTAACATATATTTTTCGATTTATCGCCAGAACTATAATCGAGAGATAATGCGGTCATAAATTTTGAGACCTGTGAGTATCCTGAGTCACGCCAACCAGCAAGAGAGCGACAGAAACACAAATAGATATGGTGCTCTATATTGAGCTAAGACGTTCACTTGGTGGTCATGTCGGGCCAGTAGTTGATGTAATATCGGTGGGTCGAGCCCTCGAACAAGCGGTCCAGCCAGTTCTCTAGGCCATCTAGAAGATTCTCTGCAAAATAAAGTGTTATAAAGAAATAAGTGGACGTGGTAGTAGTATTTTTTTTAAATAACACTGTAATAATAATAAAAAGGCTTGCTTCGCTGGTATTGTCGAGGGTAACACGAGGGGTCCAAAAGGGGTTCAAAATCTCTTACGTAATAAGCGTCTGTGATATCATATAGCTGCTGAGTACAATAAACTAATGTTTTTTTATTTAGTAAACACGAATTTGAACCTTATTACTATAGAGTAAGGCATATACGATATAACATAATTGTAAAGATAGTAGAATAGTTACCTTGCATGAGCACAGGAGGATCAGGTGACTCATCAGCTGAGGAAGAGTCAGGCTCGGTGTGGAAGCCGATGAACGCACCCGCCTCGGGATCACCCATTCCACTCTCGCCTAGCGATCGCGTCATGCGACTCATGCGCTGAAAATTTAACAAATAGTTGGGTAGTTAAATTTTCAACGAAGAACCAAATTTTAAAGTTCAAAAGTATAAGATTATTTGAGAGAAATCTTGGAACATTTCAAAAAGGGACATATTGCAAAGGACACAAGAGACACAAGGTAATAAATTAGATAAACTGTGACAGCTGAAACTTCGTAGCACCAGTCTACAAGCCTAGCGAGCTGGTCGCAATCGGGACCCGCTCGTACGGGCTCGACCTCGTTAACCACGTCCCCTTTACCGGATTGACACCCCGGAACTATTAACAGGCTCATCCGGGCCCAACCCAGTTACCCGCCTGTAGTGGCAGGTGTTGCAGAACACCACTTGGACAGGCCTTAGACCGCGAAAAGTCACCCCGAGACAGCTGCGGTCTATGAGAAGAACCACGAGGAAAATATGCAGTAGTAGTATATTAGCTTATGTAACCTTTTTGAATATGCTTAACAATTAAAAAAAAGGGTCTGTGTGGCGACTGATTAAGAATACAGAGTGTCACCACCCCTATCCATCCTGTAGGTGTCGTAAGAGCCGACTAAAGGAAAAAAACTACGCAGAACAACAGCACTGGAGAGAGAAGGAAAATTTGACACAAACCCAGCCAGCGTGGTATAGTAGGCCAAAACCTCCTTTCTAAGGAGAGGCCTATGTCCAGCAGTGGACTATTGGATGATGATGTAAATAAAAGAGGTTTTGCAATCAGTTTTTTTTTTTTATAGTTGTTACCTTAGAATTCATTTAGTTTTTGTTTGTTAGGTTTATACTTTCCGTTTATGGGACCACACACAAATTAAGAAAAATAACACCACTAAGGATGGAAAATAAGGAGACGTAGAGTAGAGTTAATTACCTTGTGCGGCTTGGCGCACTCGGGGTGCTTGGCGTGGTAGATGCAGAAGTACTTGCGGTGCGGGTTGAGCGCCAGCACCGTGCCCACGCAGTTGCGCGCGTTGAGCCGCAGCTCGCCGCCGCCCAGCGACAGCTGCAGCACGCGCCGGAACCACACGATGTTGCGCTCCACGCACAGGTACGCGAACAGCAGCGTCTTGTTCCTGCGCACCACCAGCAAGCCTTACACCTTACACCTACTGCCGAGCACCGGACCCCTGCTTCACGCAACTGGGGTTTCTTTTAGTTAAGTTACTGGAGTTCAAACTAACCCTCCACCTAACTCTGGGAGGAGCCATAAGACTTGTGTACTTTTAACCCCTGACGGAAAACGTGGGGTGTTATAAGTTTAACCTGTGTATCTGCATATCTGTCTGTGGCATCATAGCTCCCAAACGGATGGACCAATTTCGATGCGGATTTTTTTATTCGAAAGCCGATGTGATCGAGATGGTTCTTAGCTATAAATTTTGAAGATCATCAGATCACTTCCTAGGTGATGAAGGGATCTCGGACCGATTGATCTGAAATTTGGTATACTGTTACTTTGATGGTATTTCCACGACACGATGACCTGGAACTTGCTGCTACATCAAGTATTATGAGAGATAGCCAACTCCTCAGAAAATGACAGCATATATACCATGTTTGGACTTTAGAACAGTCTCAATGAGCAGTTGTTGTTTTTTAAAGATTTTTTTGTGTCGAGGTTATTTAATGATGCTATTATAAGTTACAAGTGTCCATGGGCGGCGGTAGTCGCTTGCCATGCGGAGACCCGATTGCTAGTTTGCCCCCTATAGCATAAAAACTTTGAAAAACTAAATACAGTACACTCAATTATTGCATTGACTGATTAAAAGGCATTGCATTATATTAAACAAAAACTAATCCTCTAAATTTTTTTTAAAATGAACAATTACTTTTTAATGTAATGTTATAGCCATTTCGTGTTCAAAAAGAACTTTTCGACTATAACTTACTTGCGATAAGGCCACACAATTTTATGAAACTTGGATAGCAGTTGCACCCGGCTCTGCATATCAACCAGCAACACGATGGTTCGACAACCAGGTTTCAACAGCCTGAAAGTAAATTAGTAATATATTAAAATAAATTAAAAGATAATACGAAATCAGCTGATAAATCTTTGTTTTGCCACGAACACATCTCCAGACCAAAAGAATCCAAACACTCTAAACATTTTGTGGATAAACAAGTGTTTAGTCCCACAGATTGCAAGCTTGCTTTCCTGCATTTTTTCTAGCATATTAAATTTCGGTTGAAAAACATAGGAAAAAATGGTTTTATACTGTTTCGCCTTTACCTATTTATATTAAGATAAAGTAAAACAATACATACCGGACCAGTCCATTGTACTTCTCAGCCCGCAGCTCGTGGAGACGAAGCTCCGACTGGATTTCATTATTGTTTTTTTTTCCAGAGCCGTTCTGTTTTTTTCTCTCTTCCTTTTGCCGCTGCACTGATTCTTCTTCTACTCGTCTGTAAAAAAAAACTTGATCATAAAACCCTGTAAGTGTTTATAATAGTTTTATCATTATTGATGTTATGATAAAGAATTAAATATTACATTTCTAGTACAAGGTAAGAGTTGTGTAATGTATAAATACACGCTCATAATTTATTATTGAAATAGCAATCTGGTTGAATAGAAATGTGTAGTTTACAATAGCTTCTAAATTAAAAGTTAACTAACATTAGTATTTTAAATAGAAATCATATATTTTTGGTCCTTCGAGCCGGCGTGTGAACTGCAACTAAACCGTTGTAAAATTTTCTACGAAGATACAACGCTAATATTACTGTTAATGTATAATATTTCCTTGTACGCGAACATGAACAATATTTTTAATTATTAACTCAGTATCAAAGGAAAACATGTTTTTTTAAGTTGATATATTTCAAAAGTTAGTGTGGCCTATTTATAAACTGATCATCAATAACTTTGGATTATTAATTACTGCAAGTTCGTTAGAGACACTACTGGTTTAGATAGTCCAATACAGTGGAGACAAGTGAAGTCGGCGAGGTGTGTGCGCTCACATGAGGTAGGCCATGAGGTAGCCGGCGCCCAGCACGAGCGCGACGGTGGCGAGCACGGAGAGCGCGGACACGGCGCGCTGCGTGTGCAGGGCCGCGGCGCCGCGCTCGGCCCACTCGCGCAGCGTGCGCCACGCGCGACGGACCGCGCCCAGCGCCGCCTCGTCCAGCAGCTCCTGCACACCGAGTCACACTCCTGCACACTGGTACTTATCGATCTACGACCGGCGTCTGATTCTATCGAATCGAAAGACCGACACTACGAGATGGGAAAACTAAACGCTTACTTAATCTTCATCGGTCATCCAGAATCATCCGATCGAAATATAAAGCGACATGTATATTATTGAACTTGTAAGTCAAAAACTAAATTCAGCTCTATATTCCTCAAAGCAGTGTTTTTAGCACTTGTTTTGTCAAAAAAAAACCGGCTATAATAAAAAACTCGCTTTACCAATATCTTAGTGGATATAGAACCATTGTTTATACTACTGCACTGTAACTGTATAAATTTACCTTCTTAATATTAATTTGAAAAAATAACAATTTCTTATTTTTCTCCATTTAATAACCTTAAAATAAACTATTAAATTTAATATGTAAAATCAAATATAAACATAAAATATAGCCAAAACTTAGTGATTTTTAATAAGGTGACAAACCTAGTAAAATTAATTCAAACTTCTGCACACACCAAAAATAAAAATAAATAAAATTATGACGAAGAGAAAATTCCGGAATGTCATGTTCATACCTGTACATGTGCTTCGTACGCCATAACCTCAGTTGGTTTCAGCAACCTTTTAATCAACTGATCGAGCGCCCGTTTGGTTTCATTTAGTCTTTCATGGTACTTCAATAGCTCCGCCCTGATGGCAGGGTCTGCTGGTAAATGGTCGTTCACGCAGTGTGCGTGAGTGCACGTCGGCCATGTTTCATTGAGCCATTCGTACTGGATGCGAGTGGGTTCCCGACGCCAGATAATAACGATGCGGTGTTCCATTTCTGATATATCGCTACCTAGAAAAGTTAAGAAGAATTGGAAACAGTATTTTAAAATTTGGAAAGGACGAAAAGGCAATATAAAACTATGTTGTGTAATATCAAATAAAAACTAAGTACAATAATAATTGATTTTGGTTATGTTGTATGCTATGGACCCAGGATAGGGCCTTGTGAAACACTACACTTTTTTACACGACGAACTGACCATTGAACTTCTAGACAAGCAAATCCTATATTATAAAATATATAAAATGAGCTAATTGATGACTTATAATCAGAACTAAGTTACACTTGTATTTTACTATGTAATAAAATAATGTGAGACAATCAAAGGCTTTGGGTAAAACCAAAAATAAAGTGTCGTTTTTCGAGTCGTGTGTCTGTAGTGCATAGTCTAAATACAGACGCGCATTAAGATGAAACTCTTTATGGTTTAAATATGTCGGAATAGTTGTATCCGATGTGGTATAGTAGAGATGTGTTTACCAGATCCGTTAGCGAGCGCGTGTATGAAGTCCGGCTGCTTGTGCGCGTACACGTAAGCGTAGTGCAGTCGTTCAGGCGGAGCTCGAGCCAGCTGGCGCAGAGCCCGGCGCGCCGCGTCCCCGGCCGCGCCGCCGCCGCACACGAGCACGCAGCACAGCCTGCGCCGCGCCGCGCGCCACTCCACCGGGCACACGCTCTCCAGCACGCTCTGCGCATACGCACCGCACTTATATGCCGCCTTATTTGCCTCAGAATTAACACCTGAGTGGTTCTCGACCATTAAGATGTTATATATTTTTACCGTATGTTATGTATTTTTTCTGTATCCTTGAAAATGTGTACATAACAAACAGATAATTCAGTGTGTTAGCAGTTTGTGTACTGCAATAAGTACTGCTACTAATAAAGATCTCCAAAACATAAACGTACCCCCATTTCTATCACTAACTGCTTACCAAATTGAATCATTGTCAGAGGTGCTGAAAAGGGCACCGCCAAAAACTAGTCGATATTAATAGCAGTTCGTTAGTTGACAACAAATACCTGTGAGGAGAGCCTCGGCAATGTCAACATCTGGTTACTATCAATGAGCTGATGCAACGTCTGCGTTGGGATCTCGTTCGTGCTCACGGTGGCTGCGGGTTCTGAGCTGTCTTCCTTGAGGAGCACCATTGTGTCCATGTGACGCTGAACCTTGTACCGTCCGGTCACGTTGTGAGAGTCGCGTAAACGCATGTCTACGAAGCTGCAACAATTTTGCCGAGAGATATCAATGGTATTATAGACTATTAACAGGTGACATAGATATTATGAGTAATCGCAGAGGATATCTATGTTACATCTTCATAGGAAACTGAGAGAGAGAACTGATATTACTTGTCAGTAACTGTGGCAGAGCCATGATTTAGCACATAGGAGCTCAATCGGCTGGAGTGATGTCACCGCTTCACAGAAAAATGATGTTAAAGAATTGAAACTGGTGAAGTTAGTGAAGGCCCAATGACCTCCCCCGCCCGATTATTACGGGAGGAGGGGCACATACAGGTTAGCAACAAAGTCAGGTCTCTAGAGTTGTAAGTGTTTATGAGCGACGTTAGCCACTTGCCATCTATACAAATAAATAAAATTGTAGTGTCTGTTTGTAATGTCAAAATTATAAGTTTTGTTTTCATGCTCACAAGGTTATTTGCACGATACCTTTGCCTAAAACCAGATTAAATATTTTTTGTCTGTCTGTCTGTTTGTTCCAGGTAATCTTCTAAACGCCTGTACCGATTTTGATAATATTTTCTTATGTATTAGCTGTCTATGTGAGGAGTAACTTAGGCTATGTTTCCTCTCAGAAAAACCCTATAAAATTTTGCCCGGTCCGGGAATCGAACCCGAGGTCTCGTAGCAGCTTTTCAAATTCCACGCGAAAGAAGTCACGGGTACCAGATAGTACCATATAAAACTAACTAATTAAACTAGTCAATAGACACAGATCAGTCAAGATGTGCCACTTACCCGAATGCGACTCTATCTCTATAATGGAATGCAGTGATGAGGTATCTGAGGCGTATGTTCTGGCGCTCCTCGAAGATCAGCGCTTTCACCTTGTTGTCTTCGAAATCTGACACGAAACCATCCACGTTACTGTCTCCGATGGCGCTCACCAACTTGTAGGGGAACTTCCAACGTATGAATTCTGTAAAATAAAGTTTAAATTACAGCAACAGTAATTTACAACTGTAATTCCTATAAGCTAATAAAGCTGTTAAAATTAATAAAGAACTGAATCATAGATAGGGAATGCAATCTCGTTTCGGCCTTTTTTAGCGAGATTGAGATCCGAGATTCTCGGCCAAAAAAGGGGCGAGATCTCGCGAGTTTAACGAGATTGCACTCGAGCATAGAAAGTTTCGTTCGTTGCGCGGGAGGCGGCCTCAGTTAGCGGTCGCGGGACGAGGTGTCTCTCAGTAAAATTTTACACAAGATAACATTTTATTACTAAAGGATAAAGACTTGTTTGATATTACAAGAGAAGACTGGTTGTTTATTTCATTTGTTATTTGATAGATACGTACGTCAAACTTTACTACTTAGAAGTTTATTAAAAAAAAAAGAATTTTGAAAATCGGTTAAAAATTGACAAAGTAATCGATGAACATACAAAAAAAAAATACATACAGTGGAACATAGAACCTCCTCCTTTTTTGAAGTCGGTTAAAAATATAGACAGATACGTCAAACAATGTTTGATGCATAAAAGTCTATTGAAAAAATCTTCAACATAAATGATTATCTTATAATACTTATAATTATTATTTTTCCTAATTTATTCAAATATTGTGATTTATTTGCATAAAAACCACAATACATATATTGTTTTTCATAAACTCGCGGGATCTCACTTGAGCCCTAATCTCGCGAGATTTGCATTCCCTAATCATAGCTACATCGTTCAAAAGTACCAGGGCAATATAAGCAAAGAGTAGTAGGTTGTGTTATATTAATAGTGATGTGCCGGATATCCGTATCCGTATCCGCGGATATCCAAGGGAGAAGAGAGATCCGTAACCGTATCCGTATCCGTGACTTTTTTGGCGGATCTTTCAATACATATTACATACATGAAATTCTGTATATGTGATTTTGTATTCACTGTAAAACTCTTAGGTATGTGTTTGTAACACTATAAACAGCAATTTTTTTTCTGGCCAAGGTCAAAATGAAAAAAAATTGGTCCTCCATTCAAATGACCAATCAAATGTTGTTAGTTTGTATGGAGAAACAATTTTTTTCTTTCGTTTTCGGTGTTAGTCCAGAAGAAAAGTTGTTGTTTATAATGTTACTAATATGCACTTTAGAGGTTTTCAGTAAATTTAAAATAACCCTGAATAATGGTTATTAGGTAGCTATGAAAAACTATTGAAATCTGTTCAGATTACTTTTTATTTCTTAAAACAAATATTCGGCACCTTTGTATTGCAATCATTTATCGTACTATACTAAATCAACTAGGCAGGTCGTAGGTACTGAAAGAGCTATCTTTATAATGAGATCAATCAAACATCTTTGTAATCTTATTAAAATAATGAAATATTTAAATATCAACGGCAAAGCGTCAAGTGGCGACAACTAGCAAGGTCACGGGCTCCGATTGAGTAAGAAACTTAAGATCCGTATCCGCGGATCTTGACACCAAATATCCGTATTCGGATCCGTATCCGCGGATATACTTTGTTAACGATCCGGCACATCACTAGTTATATATAAGTTGAATAGTTTGAAAGAACGATAATCGCAAAACCTCTTCACAAGTCATGTTCTCCTGTTACTTCAAATAAAGTATCCTTGAACTTTGAAGTAAGGTAATGATAATATTTAATAGTACTCTTTTTAATATCTCGAGAAATTTAGTAAGCTTGAATCCTTCTAGTTAAATCCTTAAAATAACCTTGTAAAGATCGCAGTCCTTTTTTTTTTCTACCACATTTACACAACGCCATCTAGTCCCAAACTAAGCAGAGCTTGTACTATGGGTACTAGACCACTGATATAAATACATATATACTTTTTTTTTGTAAATACATACAAATTATACATAGAAACACCCAGACCAAATCAAACATTCAAAGTTCATACACACAAATGTTTGTCTTGAGCGGGAATCGAACCCGCGACCTTTGGAATAGCAGTTCGTTACACAAACCAATACGCCATCGGGTCGTGAAATACATGGAGCATGGAGCATAGGATGTCCACTTCTGGACATAGTCAGTGGACTATGTCCAGAAGTGGACATCCTATGCTTAAAATAATGATGATAAATTCTTCTCATTTAAAGTATATGCATGCTTTGATATTATACGTACATAAAATTAGTATTTAGAAAAAAAAATACAAAAGAAGAAATAGAGACATGGCGCTTGCTCCACCGACAAGAGCTTGGCTCTTAAACTGAGAGAGAGAGAATTAGTGTAGTGATTGGGTAGACTGTGTACTCTCAATACCTCTTGCGATCACAATACCATGGAAAATAATCAAATACGAAGTCAATATAACTCACCAAGTATCTTAGGCAAGCTTGCGAGCCCCTCTTTATATATATAGACATGTTTATCCAACACGAAGGTCAAGCAGGGTACTCCGTGGACCCCAACTCGTCTAGCGAGGCTGGCCTCGTGTCCTGCATGTACGGTAGCCATGGTAACACCCAGCGGCTGCAGCGCTTCAACAAGCCGACGCCATGCGGCCGCTGATCGAACGCAGTCGAAACACCAATCAGTGTAGAATAGAACCAGCGCTGGAGTGTGTATGCTTTTTTCTACGATGTTGTTTTCGAAGTGGCTAGAATAAGAGAAAAAAATATATCTATTTCATTTTACTTGGAAAACCAACAGTTTCTTATATCTATTTAACAACTAATTATATCACTAAAAACCATTTATGAGTTTTCACATATACATATTTAATGCTTGATAGTATTATTTAAGGATTCGAACCATTAGTCGAATCCTTTCTTGAATATACAAGTTAACTAATATATCTGTACCTTATTCAGTATTTCTACTCTTGTTATGGAAGAGGCATAAATGAGTTGGCTCGAACGGAGTGCTACCACGGCCTCACAGAAAATCGGTGTTCAGCAATTATTTCGGTACGTACGTACTTTTCATAGAGTGAGTGAAAAGGACGGCGACGCACTTGTCTCTTGAGTTACAGAAGTCCATGGGCGGTGGTAGTCACTTACCATCAGGTGCCCCGTCTGCTGCTCATTTGCCCCTTATACCATAGAAAAAAACCAATGACGCCAATTCACAAAAAACGACGGAATTACCTAAGTTCTATGTTAGGTTAGCCTAGGAAAACTGGTCCAGACGAACCTGAACCACTGTGCCGCGGCGCAGGATCTCTTCCTGCAAACCATGGCACAGTGGTCGATAGGTGTTGCCGTAGTCGCGGAGCCCTATTCTGTCCCTCCCCGTCCAAACTGGATGGGTGACCGGGACGGCTCCGTGGCAGTCGTCGGTTCCACGACGGCTCATTCCCCGCCCTTGTCGCTAAGAGACAAGGGCACTCGATTTGTTGCCGTCGAGTGGGGGGGGATCACCATATATGGTGTTTATTTCTCCCCCAACCGGAGTTTGAACGACTTCGAGGTTTTCCTAACCAGCTTGGAGACCTCGATACGGCGACTAGCGTCTGGGCACGTCCTTGTGCTGGGGGACTTCAACGCAAAGTCCATTGCGTGGGGTTCCCCCAGGACGGACGCCAGGGGCGAGGCCGTAGAGGAGTGGGCGGCCTCGGTGGGCCTCTGTCTTCTGAACAGAGGCTCCACCAACACGTGCGTGCGACAGCAGGGGGGGTCGATAGTGGACCTCTCCTTCGCTACCCCTGCCCTCGCCGCACGAGTAAGGAACTGGCGTGTCCTGGAAGAGGTTGAGACGCTCTCGGATCACCTGTATATCCGATTTGAGCTCTCCCGGACCCAGGACTCCAGTAGGGGTCACGTGGCGCGGCGTTTATCCCGCTTTCCGCGGTGGGCTGTTGCCAGACTGAACCGGGACCTACTAGAGGAGGCAGCCATAATACACTCGTGGCTGTCTCCACAGGCTCCGACCGAGGAGGTTGACGTGGGGGCTGGTCGCTTTCGCGATGCGATTACGCATATCTGCGATGCGGCCATGCCCCGCATTCGAGGTCGTCGGCCTCCAAGGAAGGAGGTCTACTGGTGGTCCCAGGAGCTGGCGGACCTCCGTGCGGCCTGTACACGTGCCCGGAGGTCCTACACACGCAGTCGGCGGCGTCACCGTGGAGACGGTGAGGAGGACCGGCTTCATGAGGAGTACCGACGGGCTCGGAAAACTCTGAAGCTGGCCATTAGCCGCGCCAAAGAGGAAAAGAGACAGGAGATGCTGGAGGGTCTTAATCGTGACCCCTGGGGTCGCCCTTACCGCGCGGTGCGACAAAAGCTCCGCGCGTCGGCCCCCCCCCTTACGGAGACTCTCCAGCCCAGCTTCCTGCGAGAAGTGGTTGAGGGCCTTTTCCCACAACGAGCGGAACACACTCCCCCGTCGATGGCCTCCCTGGCCGGAGACGACGGGGATCACGGGGAGGACAATGTTCCGCCCGTCCGGGATTCGGAGGTAGGGGCGGCTGTTCTACGGATCCGTTCCAAGAACACCGCCCCTGGGCCAGACGGGGTACCGGCCCGAGTGCTGGCCCTGGCCCTCAACCACATGGCAGACCGCCTCGGGGAGGTGTTCGACGCTAGCTTGGCGTCGGGACGCTTCCCTGAGTGCTGGAAGAGCGGGAAGCTGGTCCTATTGAGGAAGCCGGGACGGCCTGCCGATTCGGTCGCGGCCTATAGGCCCATCGTGCTGCTGGACGAGGCGGGCAAATTGTTTGAGAGGGTTCTTTCTGCCCGCATCGTCCGGCACCTCTGCGAGGTGGGCCCCGATCTGTCGGACGCCCAATTTGGTTTTCGGGCGGGGCGTTCGACAGTCGACGCCGTGTTGCGCCTGAGGGCCGTGACCGAAGAGGCCGTGAGCTGTGGCGGCGTGCTGTTGGCGGTGTCATTAGACATCGCCAACGCATTCAATAGTCTGCCATTCAGCTGCATCAGGGAAGCACTCCACTATCATGGGGTGCCAAAGTACCTGAGGCGGCTAGTGGCAGACTATTTAGAGGAGCGTACCGTCGTGTACGAGGACCGAGAAGGTAATTTGAGGTGTCGGCCCATGTCGTGCGGTGTTCCACAGGGGTCTGTTCTTGGACCCCTCTTGTGGAACATAGGGTACGACTGGGCCCTTCGCGCCGATTTCCCCCCCGGGCTGGGTGTTATCTGTTACGCAGACGATACACTGGTTACAGCCCGGGGGGCAAACTTCCAAGAGGCGGCGCGCCTGGCCACAGGGGGAGTCTCCCTGGTGGTCGGGCGCATTGACGCGCTGGGCTTACGGGTGGCCCTAGATAAGACGGAGGCCCTGTTATTTCAGCGGCCCCGTCGTGGTCCACCCCCTGGCGCCTCAATCGTGGTCAACTCGGTCCTCGTACCGGTTCGGGCCCAGATGAAATATCTGGGCCTGATCCTCGACGGGAGGTGGCTCTTCGACGAGCACTTCCGACAGCTTGCTCCAAAGCTGGTCGGCGCTGCGTCTGCCCTAGGGCGACTTTTGCCCAATATGGGTGGACCCAGCGTCGCGACAAGACGGCTGTACACGGGGGTTGTCCGGTCAATGGCACTGTACGGTGCACCGGTGTGGGCGGCGGCTTTGACCGCCCAGAATAGGGTACGCCTCTGGCGCCCTCAGAGGGTAATGGCGGTCAGAGCCATACGCGGTTACCGCACCGTGTCGACGGAGGTGGCATGCGCGTTGGCCGGAACTCCCCCGTGGGATTTGGAGGCGGAAGTGCTCGCCGAAGTTTATCGGCGAGTGGCTGACTTCCGGGCGGAGAGCGGATTTCGCCCTCCGCCCGAGGATGTGCGCGAGTGGCGCGAAGCCGCTCGCCGAGCCACGATGGCTCGTTGGTCGTTCCGGCTGGAGACTCCACGCGCTGGCTTCGCCGCCGTGGAGGCTCTCCAGCCGGTCATCGCCGAGTGGGCAGGGCGGCAGCACGGGACCCTTTCCTTCCGGCTGACGCAGGTGCTTTCCGGGCACGGTTGCTTCGGAAAGTACCTGCACACGGTCGCTAGGAGGGAACTGAGTCCCGCCTGCCACCACTGCGACTGCAGTGAGGACTCGGCCCAGCACACGCTGGCGGTCTGCCCCGCATGGGCGGCGCAGCGCCGGGCCCTCACTGCAGTCATCGGAGTGGATCTCTCGCCATCTCGGCCATGGAGCGTACTACGGCCGGTAGCGACAGTTGTTTTACCGCGGTCGCAACCTTCTGCGAGGCAGTAATCTCGCGGAAGGAGGCGGCGGAGAGGGCCCGGGAGGACGACCTCCACTCGGACCCGATCCGCCGCCGGCGAACCGGGCGGCGGAGGCCCGCCTACCACAGCCTCATGCCGCCCTGAGTGTGGCCGCGGGTGGACGGGGTGGGTTTCCCCTCCACCCGCATTAGTTTGGCCAGCCGCGAGGGGGCGGCGTCCGCGTGTGCCGGACGTCGCCTATAAAGAGAGGAAAACATTGAGACGGAGCCCGCACCAGGAGCGGGCTGGCGCTAGGAGGGGTCCGGATGTCTTAACAACAGCTGTTCCCGGATCCCTCCTGTTACAGGCGCAGAGTGGCACACCGTGTGGTTTTAGTCGGTCCGAGTCCGACACACCACCCCGCCGCAAACCCCGGAGGGGTGACGGTCCGAGGGGATTTCCACACGTAAAAAAAAAAAAAAAAAAGGAAAAGGACTTTTTTTAATATTGCCGTCTAAAGTACTCACCGCGCAGTGACTGAAAGTTTGTGAAATAATGTAATGTCTTGGTCCTGTGTTCGGAAATGTGCGCCAAAGAGCTCTTCAAAAGGATCGTTGCTGAAATTAAAAATGACGTCTAACATCAGTACTTTTTACTGTAGCACAATTCGGAATTTACCATTATAATAGCCATGCAAAGTTTTTTCGGGAGGTTTAATGTCACCACACTTATTTTAGTGTGGTTTGTTACCATGAAATAAAACAAATCCAAATGTTAATTTTTGTGTTCTCATACTTATATCACTTAGCTATTTAATGGAACACTTTTTAGTTGCACGTTACGTCGTTACGTACACGGGTACAAAATGAACACGAGTTACCTAACATTTAAAACAACATATTATTCCCCTAGAATAAATTGAATTAAATGATTGACATGAAAATCCTGTCTCTAGTTTTTTTGTATTAATACAAAATATTTATTTATTTAAAAACTTTGTAGTTGGTTAGTGAGTAAACTTAATTTTCACACCAAAAATTAAAAAAAAAACGACACAAAAAACAGTAAATATCAAGTGTTTTAAATATTTTTAAAACAAATAACGTAAAAACACTTCACTACACATTAATACACATAACTTATACAGTATCATAAAAGTTTCAAATAAGATCTTGTGTTAATTAATAGGGGTCGATTTATAGACCTCGTCAACCCCCAAAATCAGTTTCCCAATCGGATCGGGAATGCCTGATTCATCACCGAGACTAGTAATGTTGTTATTGTTCCAATTTCACTACATACATTTATAGAAATAGTTCCCAAATAAGAACTCTGACACAGTATTCTCAAAAAAACAAAATGATTCATACAATATGATCTGCAAAGATGCAGATGGCACTGACTAAAACATATAAAATGTTTAAGAAGTTTGAATCACTGTTTAAATAAATAAATTTGGTGTAGCACTATGGCAAAAAAAAAACTTTTTGAGAGCTGTGGGGTTGTAGATAGTAGAACAACAGATCAGCACATAATAGATGTTTGACTTGCATTTGATTGATATTGCACTGTAATCTTCTAATGTGAAAGGATATCTTTTAAATAGAACTAGATATTTATAGAAATAATGTGTTGAAAAAAATGAATTAGTGAGTAGCAAAATATTGGTATTGCAATATTATTGAAGGGTACTCTTTAACAAAAAAATAAGGAATAATTCTGACATTCTTATATGTAAAGGAATGTTAAATTTTTCGCAAACTTACCTATATCTTGCATATGTGCTATAATCATGTCTTGGCTTGTAAAGATGGTCATCTTCGTTTGTAATACCAAAGGAATCATAAGCCTGACGCCTTTCAGAGTCAGATAATAGTTCATAAGCTTGCTTGATCTCTACAAAACGGGTTTCTGCATTTGGATCTACATTTTTGTCTGGGTGCCTGAAATTAAATACAATACTTAATGAAACATAGTATTTAATAGGGTTATAACATCATCTTGACTTCAAGCGCAGTATTAAGTTTTGTCTGTAGAGTAATATTATATTAACATACATACATGTATATACCCACACCTATGGCCCTAAATGAAATTTTATTGACTATAATGCCCAAGTTAAGATAGTGATTAACTTAATACTTCCAGAATTAAATGGAAAAATTGGGCATATTTTAAAAGTATTTTATACCAATAAAATAATAATAAGAAAATAATAATAACAGGGGAAGGCAATTGACATATTGAGAAATGTTAGTAAAAGCTCTTTTATTTAAAAAATATACATACTTTCACTCACACGCAAACACACACACACACACACACACACAATCATTCCATAGTACCATAACATGCAAGCTTAATCTTAATACACAAAGCATTCACAACTGCTCTGCATTAGAAAAGTATTATCTAATATTGTATAAATGTATGGCCGAACACTGTCTTTCTAGATGCAGGTGTCAGCTGGTTTCAAAGGCAGGGTTTTTCACTAATTGAACATGGATATTTCAATCTTACCGATGACTAAAATTGTCCTGTAACTAATGTGTATTGAATTAATACTTTATTAATATTACATTAATAAATATATAAATTAAATATTATTAATATTATTATTTATTTGCATTGTCAGATAGACACCTAATTGATGAACCCAGCATGATTGATTACACTGAAACCCTTTTTTAACAGACGGTCTCCTTCTTTAATGCAACTGGAAGTTACAATCTTAATGGATACTTATTACTGTTTTATTACTTAAGTGACACATAAGAACATAGTATGTACCACTTTACACATTATTGTCACTTGACAATTAGAAAAGAATTAAAAGTGTTACTCTAATATAATATTGGTGATCTTGACAGCTGAGTTAGATGATGTTATTCAAATTCACACCCGGTACAAACAATTCTAAAAATGACCATAATTATTTGTTCTGTCTAGATAATATTTATTAGCAGTTTGGTAACCATAGTACAAGGTCTGCCTTATTTGGAACCAGATAGGGACAGAGTGAGATGTGTCAAGGTATATTATATTAAATTTGAGGACAACAGACAACTACATGTCCTGATAATATAAATGATGGGTTTTAAAATTTATTACCAATAAGAGTATGACAATTATAGATGCAAAGAAATTCAAATGTTATCAAAAGTATTTGGTTAAACAACCAAAATTTCTATCTTTTATTTCTATTAGTGTTTTAGTAGAATACAGTAATCCCACGGTAGATTTGTTCCGCATTATAGGAAAATGTGTTGCAGGAGTGTTCTCGTAAAACACACTTGTACAAATGATTAACGTTTTACTTTTATCGTAAAGGGGGTTTAAATCGAACTATGAATTAATTATGAACTCTACAAATAATTATAAATTTCACAGTACAGATATATCATGTGGGAAATCCCCACATTATATGGGGGAATCTCCGTGCTATACGAGGGATTGAAATCACGTAATATTAAAATGCGTTATAAGAGTACCATGTTAAACGGGGATTACTGTACTTTTTTAAAATCAATATGTTATTTTTTGTAATTAACCATTAGTCAGGTCATCACCCTGGCTATATGCCAGGGTACTCAACTCCACTTAATTTTATTTATTATAGTAAAAACACTTCAAAACAGTGATGTACACTCATGGCTCTTTTTTATGGTCAACAAATCAATTATCTATATTTTATACATTTTATTTCTATTGAACATTGGTGTCCTTCGCGTAATGGATAACTTACCATTCTTTAGCTAATTGTCTGTAAGCTTTTCGTATTTCAGTCAGACTAGCCTTTCGGTGTATCCCAAGAATCTTATACGGATCACCGATTTTCTGAGTTAGAAGAAGTGGGCAAAGCGCTAGCAACACTACCGTCCACAGCCACAGCCCTATCCATCCCTTGCATTCCCATTTCATATTACCAAACAGTTTCTTTATCAACCCCTAGGAACAGAATCTTGGTACCCCTCAAGATCACTTTCATAGCAAAAGTCTACGATCGTTAATGTTACACATGTCTGATGTACGCGATTATACCACGGAGTACTTAAATACTATTATCAGTCATTTGTCTTAAAATAGAACGGCTGAAAACTCGTGAAATCCTGAAATTTCACAAAATTACAAAATGTCAATTTGTCTAACCCATAGACACTAAAGTTGTTTTTCTGCGGAATTTGCAAAGATAATATTTGAAAGGTAGGAGAATCAATAAACCATTGACTTTATATTAGTTTAAATGATCTCCACCCTAAAATTAGGTAGAAATAAATAAATGGTTTTAAAATTGCCTTCTAGTTTCTGTATCATTTTAATAAATTACATTACACACTATTAAAAGCCAAAACATTAAAATAGTAGATAAAACGTATACCTAGTATTAAAGAGTAACAGGCTACTTTTCTTAATGGTTAATGCACAGTCGTCTCACAACCTAGCAACTGCTAAAAATTAAAGAAATGTCACAACGAAAAGCTTTCCTTTTTGGGAAAAATTCGTTAAACTACGATTTGGAGTTTCATCATTTTTTTGCCCTATCAACTAGACATCAATTCTATTCAACCACTTCCTTGATTTTATGTCTAAGAGTGACAGTAGACACTCTTTCTGTTTTTTGTTGTTAATTGATAAAAACTATTTAAATTAATGCTACTGATCATGGATGAAGAATTCTTTGGTAGTAGCAGGTATTAAACATTTCTAATCTAGAGTAAATTAATTACTTCTACCTCTACTAGTGCCGAAAGTCACTAACGTCAATGTCACGAACGCTATAGTCTTAAGTCTGTCAGCCGATGTGGTTCAATGTGGTTGGTTAGTGATTGATCAGAGAACATAAGTTTAGTTTTCAGTATTATAAATTAAGTTCATGAGTTTAGTTTAAGTCAGTTTCAAGTTCCGCTCACTGACTACAGTCACAGTGACTTTTCTTATACAGTTACTTTTAAACAGTACTTTATTTACTTGTTTTTTTAAGTAATCGTAAGAATTAAAAAAAAATTATTTAATTGAATTTAAAGTGATCGTCGCGATTTAATTTGTCAAAAGTGACTTATTTCTCTGCAACTTTAAACAGGTTAGTACGCCATTTAAATCTACATTTAAATTGTTTGTGGTTTTATCTATTAAATTAAGCTTGAGTACCTACGTATATTTTTTTAACTTTTTCTGACTCACTTTATTATTTTTTTGTCACTTACAATGTCTTTAAAACCAGTCAAATCGCCTATTTTACAAAGTTATTCGTAATTCTAAGCAAAAGGTTTAGAAATAATTTTAATACGACCCTGACGATAGATTGGTAGATTTAAAATTAAGTAATCCAAAAGTATATTTTAACTATACTTATATATATTCTTAAGTAACACCTATAAATGATAGAAATATTTTTTCATTTACCGAAAAATTTGCAACTAAATAAACTTTGCATAAAAAATACAAACCACTTTCTCTTTTTGAATTTATAGCATTGGTTGCATGATAACAATGTATGGAACCAATACATAAAACAAAAAATGTTAAAATTTGTCAATCCAAATAAATTAGTCAAAAACAAGTTTGTAAATGTTATTGATGACCAGTTGTTACCTGCAACATTGTTCGCGTATAATTTGAAAAGCACAGAATTCATGGGTTTGGTGCCCGGACAATCCAAAATTTTAAAGGGTTTTTCTGAAAGGGAAAATAGCCTAAATTATTCCTTTCAAGACACTTTTTGCCTCGCACTACCAATCGGTTACACACGGTTGCAAGCCTAGCACAAGTTATCCGCTGCGGTATTTCTGGACCGATACGACCTTCAAGAAAAGAGCGTACTCCTTCCTCAAAGGCTGGCAACGCGCTTGTGACTTTTGAGTTGTAGTCGTTCATGGGGGGCGGTAGTCGCTTTCCATCAGGTGACCCGACTGCTCGTTTGCCCTCTATTCCATAAAAAAAAGAGCTTCAGTAATCTCTTTTCTGGACTGAATATCCAAACCAGCATTGTTAGGTTCATATCAAATATGGTTAGGTAAAGGCGTCTTACTCCTGGGTCGCAATCCCAGGCGCTGTCGCGGTTGCATGTGTTGACTACATCTATGAGTACCCACATCTATATGGACCTAGCACCCTTACGGTAAATCCATGGAAGGCCAAAAAATTGATTCAAAGAGTTAAACATATAAATTTCTTACAGCTGGTGATGATTTTAAGTAAGAATAAAATTCTTGACCGGGATCTTTAAATTTCTCCTTTGCCTTTAACATCGCCATAAGAACCGGAACTTGTAGCTGGGTTGTTCAGTCGTCCACAACTTGTTTATTAGAGAAAACTCGGAAAACACCCTTTCTACTTGGGCGTTTACAGGTAGGCATGAAATATTATACTTAATTAAAATACAAAATATCCGCGACCTACTTGGCCGCTAATTTTCAATTAATTGCTAGACTATCGAGAAAACAAGGCAATTATGCGTCCAAACGTTTTTCTCAGTTGCACTAGGACTGAGAATCGGAATACAAACGTCAGTAAATCCGTATATTCTGAATTTACCTCCATATAATTAATAAAAATATTCTACCATATTCACACAACGCCATCTAGTCCCAAACTAAGCGGAGCTTGTACTATGGGTGCTAGACTACTATACTATTTTTTTGTAAATACATATATATTATACATAGAAACACCCAGACCAAATCAAACATTAAATGTTCATGAACACAAATGTTTCACTTGAATCGGGAATCGAACCCGTGACCTTTGGAATAGCAGTCCGTCCGTCAAATTGTACATTGTGTACTTCTTTCTTTTTCCATAATCAAAATTCTGCAACGTCAACTAGTTTATTTTATGCTATGATCTCTCTTCGTTTAACTAATTGCAAATGATAAAGCAAAGCGATGCATTCTACTCACCTCATACGCATAATATAGTTTCAGTGCGTTATTGCGGTCGCTTTTAAATTGACTTCACTTGACATTGGCTAATAAAACCAATTGCAATATCGACGGCACTCTGTGGTGGTGGGTGTGTATGACCCTTAAGTCATTAAAAATCTATCTGTTACAATATATTAGTAAGCATCAGTATAACGGTAGCCCCCGTCTAATAGTTAACTTTAAAAAAAGTATCACCGACTTTATTATGATAAATTGTTCATTCCTTAATTTGCCACCCTTTTTTCTTTCTTTAAATTTGAATGATAATAAACGCGATATACACCTGCCCTCCCTAAAATCATCATCAAGTTTTCTTTTAAAAATCAAATAAACCTACGGATTAAAGAAGTAAGAAGATATTGAAATCATCATTTTCCGAGCCTTTTCCCAAACTAGATTGGGGTCGGCTTTAGTCTACTACGACACATTTTTAGGGTTCCGTACCTCAAAAGGTAAAAAAGGAACCCTCATAAGATCACTTTTTCATTATTCAGAATTTTCTCTTTACTTGTGCTGTAAGACCTTGCTTTTAACCAAAATAACAATTCTAGGTCAACCGTTAGTACCCGGTCGAAAACTTATATGGTAGTTCCCGTTGACCTAGAATCACGAAATTTGACAAAAAGACAGCAAAATTAAAGAAATAATTCCAAAAAAAAAAAAATACTTAAAAATTAAGATAAATTTTGGTACTTATAAACTTGGTAAATTTTCTCGAAAATCAAATCAAAGTTTATTTGCTATGAATGTAGGTACATCAAATTACAGATGAAATAGTTTTCATTGAACCGTGTACATTCTGCCTTATAATTAAACATGCAAAAATCTATAAAATTAGGGTCGATACAAATTAAATTAAATTAAATCTGTAATGGATAAGTACAAAGAAAAAAGAAAAAATCTACGTAAAATCTGGGTAGGTACGGAACCCTCGGCGCATGAGTTCGACTCGTACCTGACCGGGTTTTTTTACCTAGAGCGACTGCTAACAGACCGCCGCATCCTAAGGCGATTTTGAAGTACTGTAGATAGACTGTTGTTGAACTTTTAGGGCTTCTACTACCTGTAATGATTGTCATAGATATTGATATTGTCCGTGTGGTGACGGTTTAAGAATACAGATTGTCACCACCTCTATTCATCCCGTGGGTGTTGTAAGAGTCAACTAAGGGACAAAACTACGCAGAACAACAACACTGCAGAGAGAAGGAAAACTTGACACAAACCCTTTTTTTTTTTTTTTTTTTTAACGTGTGGAAATCCCCTCGGACCGTCACCCCTCCGGGGTTTGCGGCGGGGTGGTGTGTCGGACTCGGACCGACTAAAACCACACGGTGTGCCACTCTGCGCCTGTAACAGGAGGGATCCGGGAACAGCTGTTGTTAAGACATCCGGACCCCTCCTAGCGCCAGCCCGCTCCTGGTGCGGGCTCCGTCTCAATGTAGATGTTCCTCTCTTTAGGCGACGTCCGGCACACGCGGACGCCGCCCCCTCGCGGCTGGCCAACTAATGCGGGTGGAGGGGAAACCCACCCCGTCCACCCGCGGCCACACTCAGGGCGGCATGAGGCTGTGGTAGGCGGGCCTCCGCCGCCCGGTTCGCCGGCGGCGGATCGGGTCCGAGTGGAGGTCGTCCTCCCGGGCCCTCTCCGCCGCCTCCTTCCGCGAGATTACTACCTCGCAGAAGGTTGCGACCGCGGTAAAACAACTGTCGCTACCGGCCATGGAGCGTACTACGGCTGGTAGCGAGAGATCCACTCCGATGACTGCAGTGAGGGCCCGGCGCTGCGCCGCCCATGCGGGGCAGACCGCCAGCGTGTGCTGGGCCGAGTCCTCACTGCAGTCGCAGTGGTGGCAGGCGGGACTCAGTTCCCTCCTAGCGACCGTGTGCAGGTACTTTCCGAAGCAACCATGCCCGGAAAGCACCTGCGTCAGCCGGAAGGAAAGGGTCCCGTGCTGCCGCCCTGCCCACTCGGCGATGACCGGCTGGAGAGCCTCCACGGCGGCAAAGCCAGCGCGTGGAGTCTCCAGCCGGAACGACCAACGAGCCATCGTGGCTCGGCGAGCGGCTTCGCGCCACTCGCGCACATCCTCGGGCGGAGGGCGAAATCCGCTCTCCGCCCGGAAGTCAGCCACTCGCCGATAAACTTCGGCGAGCACTTCCGCCTCCAAATCCCACGGGGGAGTTCCGGCCAATGCGCATGCCACCTCCGTCGAAACGGTGCGGTAACCGCGTATGGCTCTGACCGCCATTACCCTCTGAGGGCGCCAGAGGCGTACCCTATTCTGGGCGGTCAGAGCCGCCGCCCACACCGGTGCACCGTACAGTGCCATTGACCGGACAACCCCTGTGTACAGCCGTCTTGTCGCGACGCTGGGTCCACCCATATTGGGCAAGAGTCGCCCTAGGGCAGACGCAGCGCCGACCAGCTTTGGAGCAAGCTGTCGGAAGTGCTCGTCGAAGAGCCACCTCCCGTCGAGGATCAGGCCCAGATATTTCATCTGGGCCCGAACCGGTACGAGGACCGAGTTGACCACGATGGAGGCGCCAGGGGGTGGACCACGACGGGGCCCATGGAATAACAGGGCCTCCGTCTTATCTAGGGCCACCCGTAAGCCCAGCGCCTCAATGCGCCCGACCACCAGGGAGACTCCCCCTGTGGCCAGGCGCGCCGCCTCTTGGAAGTTTGCCCCCCGGGCTGTCACGAGGGTATCGTCTGCGTAACAGATTACACCCAGCCCGGGGGGGAAATCGGCGCGAAGGGCCCAGTCGTACCCTATGTTCCACAAGAGGGGTCCAAGAACAGACCCCTGTGGAACACCGCACGACATGGGCCGACACCTCAGATTACCTTCTCGGTCCTCGTACACGACGGTACGCTCCTCTAAATAGTCTGCCACCAGCCGCCTCAGGTACTTTGGCACCCCATGATAGTGGAGTGCTTCCCTGATGCAGCTGAATGGCAGACTATTGAATGCGTTGGCGATGTCCAGTGACACCGCCAACAGCACGCCGCCACAGCTCACGGCCTCTTCGGTCACGGCCCTCAGGCGCAACACGGCGTCGACCGTCGAACGCCCCGCCCGAAAACCAAATTGGGCGTCCGACAGATCGGGGCCCACCTCGCAGAGGTGCCGGACGATGCGGGCAGAAAGAA